TGCAATTTGTGCTGTCTATTATAAGCAAACACGGATGGATTAACTCGTTTTCTTTTTAATTGAAACTCATTACGTTTGACGAATGTCTAGGACGTGGTATTCTTACTATTTTCCCACAAACGAATTTCTTTTTTTTTTTTTCCATCGGAACCATCCTGGGACAGTTCAACTCGAACGACCAGGAATTCGCAACAAGCGCCGTGGGAAAAGCGTGGATGCGTTCGGATCGGAAGGGGTTCGATTCAATTCACCCTATCGAAACTCGTTCGTCTTCTTTTTAACCCTTCCACATCCGTGGATGAAATATTTCTAATTATATATATTCACGTTTAAAAAATGTGCAAGAATCCGAGTATCTTCTAAATTTTGATTTGTTATTCGAAAAAATGATCGCCTCCGTATAACTTTATAAAGGAAGTCTCGACTTCCGGTTATCCGCGGAAGATCCCGAGCGTTCGAAAGGAGGAATACGTGGAAACGGAACAACTCCGTCTCGGTGTCGGTGCTCGGTTATTATCGCGGTTCTTGGCCGAAGCGGTCACCACGGGTTTCCTTAAGTCGTCCATCGAGTTGCGCGCCTGATTGGACGGACACGAAGGATGTCGCGCCACCAGGATACGCGATAAACCGACCGACGATAAAGTTCACCGGGTACCGCAGCACGGGATTTCTGAAATTCCACTTTGCGGAAGCCGAGGATCCCGAGTTTTCCTTGAATAATCCGAGACATCGCCTTCGGCGGCCGACTGAACTCTTTCGCATACTTTCTTTGGAAAATTGTGAGAATCTTTTAACCTGACATATCCTAATCGTTCTAAAATAAACTTTACAAGTTAATAATATTCTACGAAAGAAAATATAAATTGTAGCTCTCTCCATGGTCCGCCGTCTTGGGGCTCTCTCCATGGTCCGTCAACTGTATAACGTTATTCCTACTGTTTTTCAATAAAATGAATTATAACATCCTATGCAAGAAAGTTAACATTGTAGCTCTCTCCGTGGTCCGCCGTCTTGGGGCTCTCTCCATGGTCCGCCACCAGAATTATTCCTACCGTTTTTCAACAAAATGAATTTTCTTAGATTCAGCTGCAGCAAGAAGTTTCCAATTGGTCAGATAGAAGGAGAGAAATAAGCACGTAGACCGAAACAACAGTGGTGGCTGTCTGCCGACGGATTTACGAGTTTAATTAAGTTCTGCGGTCGCGTTTGTCATTTTACCGAGCATCGAAGTCTCGTTTGCGACGGACTTGCCTTGTCTACGTTCGTTGGAAATTGAAAGGAAAAAAAAAAAAATCAAAAGGATACTCGCAAGGAATAATTCCAAAGATTAATCGATTCGAAAGACGATGATTCAGTGTTAATCACACGTTCTAATGTGTCACCGATCCTTTGGTATTCGCGTAGGCAAGTTTCAACGCGTACGTTAATAACCTGCTGATAGAGTATGATAGGGGTTGCCAGGCTGCGAGGGGGACTCGCAAAAGGAGTGTATGTGACACTTTCCTAATTGCCTCGCGCCCTTTAAGAAAGGTAACCCTTATTCTCCTCTCGTTGTTGCCAGACCTCAGACGCTACGAAGACGCCCCTGCTATTCATCAACGGCAACCGTGCTGTTTAATGAAACACCACGCGTGATTCCGTTCTAAACACCGTGCCTTTTACAGGGGTTGAAATGTCGCGGGAAAAGGGATCAGACAGAAATATAAAGTTAATTTTTAAGGAACGATGAATTAACTCTCTAAATTATTCGTGACTTATCCTTCAACTAATATTCCCAACCACTACAAGTAAACAAGGAGTAATGATTCCGTAGAAGCATTAGGCTTCCATTAAATTTCCGCAAAATCTACGGGCTGGCAAGAAACTCGACGGGACAATCAGTAGGCGGAGAAAAAGGTAGAGGAGAACGATCAGAAAGGTAGCCGCATTCTCCTTCAACTGTGGAGGCACGTGGGAATCGCGAAATGGTCCCTCTTCGACGACTTTTATCCCCCTTTACCTGGCCAATTACCCGTGTCCTAGCGAAACAGCTAAAGACACGGAATCCCTGTAAACATTTTCCTTAACACTTCTACAAGCATCGATGTTACCCTTTCTTTTCAATAGACAGATCTGGTATAAATTTCGAGTGGATGTCCTGTTGCAAACGAGGCGAAGTTTTACGACATCTTCGCGGTCGAGAGGAATCCGTTGCATCCGAGCGTACGAGACGTCCAGGCGGACGGAAGGAGTCAGAAGAGAATATACAATCAGTATGATTGTTTGACACCCCATAATCAGCGTCCTTACCCCTACCGGCTGGTCTCTCCTATCTTTGTCTTTCTATCCGAACCGTCAGGACGAAGACGTTGTTCTACTCTCTTCTTTCATCGCGACTGCTCTTCAGGTCCGTTGCCACTGGCCGAGGCTCATTACCCCGATCACGACTCGAGATGAGTACTGCAGGGAAGAAGAGAGAAACGGACACGGTTATATTATAAAGAGACAAGAATAATGCTCGCTTCCCTTTTTTCTTCACCTGCAGACCTTCTGGCCGAGGTCGTTTCTCGAACACGCTCGTTTCCACGCGGTATACCATTCCACGACGATGAGATTTCAGGGAATTTTCGATCGGGAATTATACGATTCTCCGTTTCCATCGTAGGTTGTGCCGAAAATACCTTTCGCTTCGATTTATAATCGTAAACGCGGGAACGATCGTGTAGGCGAGATTTAGAGAGCAATCAGACGAGTCAGAAGTCGACACATAGAGAAGAAAGAAGATGATGAAGAAGATTACAGAGGGAAGATGAGGAGGCAGACGGAGGTATTCGATTCAACAACGTCTGGGATGGCAAGCGAACCGAGCCGAAGGCAAAAGAACGAGCACGAAAGTCAGCGAGCGAAGGGCAAAAACAACATGGATCCAACTTTCGATCGATCGAGAAGCGATCGATCGATCCCTGGTATTACGCAGACGTGCACGTGAGTGGTACGTGAGCGCACGATTCCGTCTTGTAAGTTGAAACAGGCCCGAGCAAAGCGGGCCTGAAACGCGTCCGTGGAGGGAAGAAAATTGCATCCACCGACGCTCATTTCGCACTCTATGCTCATTCGTACGTGTGTCCGGCCTCGGATCCGCTCATTAAGTAAGAAGAAGAAGATCAGGATGAGAGTTGAGATGAATGAGCGACTGGTAAATGAAGCATTTCTCTTCCAACATCCTTTCCATTCATCTGATAATAGGTGTGAAAATGTTCCCATTACGTCTACCGAGGAACGAATCCTATTGCCAGGAAAAGGTAGAAACAATTTACCGGAGTGATTCTTCAGGGTGGAGAAGAGGGATCATCATCGTGCAGGATATTGCGTACAATGTGGGTTAAATTGAAAGGAAGAAGCAATTGAACCTGTAATTGAGATTTAAAATAGAAAATCATATACTTTCATCCTTATTTTCTTAATCACTTATATCCCCAAATTGAAATTTATGACAAAAAATGAATAAAATTGAACGAAAATGAAATATTTGTTCCAAGGTAAAATTTTTCCAGTTTTTCCGAAGAAAATATCCTTTCATCCTTATTTTTTTAATTACTTCAACCCCTAAACTGAAATTTATGACAAAAAGTGAATGAAATTTAACGAAAATGAAATATCTGTTCCAAGGTAGAATTTTTTCAAAGTTTTTCCGAAGAAAATATCCTTTCATCCTTATTTTCTTAATTACTTCAACCTCCAAACTGAAATTTATGACAAAAAGTGAATGAAATTGAACGAAAATGAAATATCTATTCCAAGGTAAAATTTTTCCAAAGATTTTTAACGGGAAAGATTTCCGTCTTGTGGCAAGCGAAGAAAGGGTAAACTTCTCTCCCATAGATGAGGTAATTACAATGGTGGCTGGATCCAGGAAGGTGACACGGGTGCAGCAAAGTTGGCCCGGAAGGTAGCACGAGCTTGATCGACGGAGAAGGTGGTGAAGGTTGGAGGAGTAGGGGAAGCAGGAGATTAGGGCAAAGAGAAACCGCAACGTAGCTTCAAAGAGGTCTTGCCAGCCAGGGGCGCGTCTACTTAACTTTGATCAGGTCGAGACCGCTGATGCGAGACGAGCAGCGTAGAAATAAAGTGGCTCTACAGTTTCCCGCCTTTTTGCATCTCGAATGATCGATTCTCGATACCTCGATTCACCGAATACATCGAATTACGATAGAACATTGTGAAATCCAACTAGTTTCAACGAATACACTAATCTATCTGTAACTTTCAATCAATTTTTCTTGTAATTAATTAACAATCACAAATTAATATTAAATTCAATTGAACGAATTCAACTTGGCTGGTTAGAACTAATCAACCAGAAGATAGTGTCACGAATAGAGGACACTTTTGTCTCGTGCTATGGAGGAATCAACGGTGAATCGTGGCGAGGGGACGATGGATCAGTGAGAGAAGAGATGGAAACGGCAGGTTGAATGTCGTTATTACGTTGAATTAGAGGGTGCAGAGCCGGAACGAGGTATGAAACTATTACCTCGCGAAACGGCAGACCTCTCTCTCTCCTCTCTTGATCCCTCCTTCCCAATCGTTTCCCCGGGGATGGTAGGGGGTGGGTGGGGTTAGTGCGTAGTTTCGTGTTGCTCCACGAGCCACGAGGATGATGTTCGTCGTGAGCGAAAGGATGATGATACCCGAGAAATATCCACTATCAAACAGAAAGAAGCAAACAGAACGGAGGATACGGCTTCCATTTCTCAACTGTTAACCCCGTCTGAACGACGATGATTGGAAGAAGAATTTCTAGTGATTCGATACGAAATCTAACATTGCGATGAACTTATTTTTAATTAGTAACCTAATTAAGAGATTTAGATAAAAATGATCTGGAGTATAATTAAAATTTTTGTTGCCACCCTGAAGAGTTATCTTCAGAAGTTTCAAGGCGATCCAAATAAAGTGAAATATTGAATCGCATAAATTTCTAAGGGTATAAAATGGAAAATAGGAGGAACAGGACTCACCGCCGTGTTGAGGGCTGTGCTTGTAGCAATCCTGATGAGCCGAGGAGCCGCCGGTAGCCCCGAGGTGTGTACTGGAAGCAGGCGATGCGGTCGGGTCGGTGTTGTTGGGGTTGCTACAGGCACCACTAACCGAATTCGTGATCACGTTGTTGCCGACGTGATGCTTACTCCTCCGGTACTGCTCCGTGTCCCGTACGTAGGGGGTGAAACGACTCGATGGAAGGAACGTCCCTCTTGTGGGTCCAGGAACTCGCGCTGGTCCTAGTATGTGCGTCTGCCCTGAAAAAGAAATAATATTTCGATTAGATTATTGGTTATATTCAGGGCGGCCGCCTAGAATCCTCCAAGGTCCAGGGCCCCCATAAAATGATTTTGTGTCTAAGAATGCAAGAAGAATGTTTACTTGAATATTAATCGATGTAAATGCAAATCTAAATTAGTTATACAAGCTTCAATGTTAATTTTATAAATTTTGTTTGTCATATATGTGATGGAGCGCCTCGGACCCCCGAAATCTCAGGGCCGGCCCTGGTTATATTAACTTCATTTGCAAGAATAATTCCTTAAAAAGCAATGTAACATTTAGAAAATTCATTTATTTATTGATTTAAATCCATAAAGGAACGAACCCTTTTATAGTACATGATATATAATATCAACCCTAATTGCATAAGGGCGCAAGGAGTAATAGCGAATGGAAATTTTGTAATAAGAAGACACAGGAATTGATAATTAGTGCTTTGGTAGCGGCACTATTAAAATAAAAATTATATGAGATACGAAAGAAAATTCAAATTGGGTCTCTCTCCATGGTCCGCCATCCGAAGAGGTAGAATAAACTGAAGTATTGTCTTATAAGAATGATTTCTACTGGATCATCGAATGGATTAATGAATGATTTAACGAAAACAAAAGCACCTCCGTCGAGCGTCCATTCGAAGAGGGACAAGGGGCGAAGATGTTTGTGCAATTAGCCCAATAGAGAGGGATAATTAAGAAACTCGACCGACCCGTGTCTCGATCGACTTCAATAGCATTCCTCGCACATACCAACCACCGGTGAATTGATAGAACCCCGTGAGCCAAGTATCACCGTGTGCCTACATAGCGAGTCTATTGTGTGTCGGATCGCAATATGCCCGGTGCATATCGTTATACGACGATGCACATTATGCGCCACGTGCATAGGCTCGATTGCTTACATAATCATTGAACAAGCATATTTAGTTCGCAAAATCGACTGGCTACGTAACTTTGATGTTTTCTACGAGAAATATTGATTCCAAACGATGTAACATCGATTTCATTGAAAACTCTTCAAACATTTCTGCATCAATCATCCAAGCATTTAAATAAATAAATAACTTTTCTAAATGTTACACTGTTCTTTAAGAAATTATTCTTCCAAATGAAGGACCGACCCTGAGATTTCGGGGGTCCGAAAAAGGGCCCCGTCATGTAAAACTAGTAAAATAAAATTTATAAAATTAATATTAAAGCTTGTGTAACTAATTTAGATTTATTTAAAATTTCCTAAATTAAAATTAAAAAATTGAAAGTTCGAAAAGTACCTCAGACAACGGAACCGTAGAGCGACGTGATCTTTGCTAATCAAGGGAAGTGGAGCACTTCCACTTCTTTCCCCTTTACTCCTCGGAAGCGGGCCCGGTCGGAGAGGAAGCGAAGAATGGGAGCCGCGAGGCGCAAATTGTTATTCCTTCGGCCGAGAAGGAACCAGGGGAACGGTCGAACGCGAGGTGGAAAGAAAGAAAGAAAGGGAAATCAAAGGTGGAAGGAAAGAGAGACAGCGCAGTGTGTTCGGCCACGAGGGCGAACGACAAATAAAGTTCGACCGCAAACTGCACGAAATTGTCGGCGAGCCCAGATGGTCAGCTCTGGCGCGGCAACCGATGCCTACAAGATTATTCCTCGCTACCGACTACCACGATCGTCAGAAGAAACAAGCCACTTCTTCTCCCTTTCTGTTCACCTTCTCCGCGACCGGATCCCACGACTTCTCACGTACCGGACGCTCGTAATACCCCCCGAAACGTATCGAGCATCTACGCGTCCGACACACTCTTTCGTACGGATCCGCTTCGATGTTTCCATTCAACAGGAGCAAAGTAGAATGGGATGTAGCTGGGTACATTGGGGATAATTCAGCGTGGATGAAAGAGGAAAGCTTTGTTCGTTTCAAATGATTCAACTATCTTTTATCGATTACACCTTCATTGATTGCCGATGTTTCTGTTAGAAAGGCAGCTTTTTACCCCTCAATTTCATGGGTTTTCGATGTTATGCTTAAAAATTCTGAGCATGCAAATATTATTCTTTAGACATTGCATATTGATTTTTAATATATATTTCTACTCGTTTTCTCTGGAATACCTATATTTTATTATTTGTTGTATACCTATTTTTACGAAAACCCGTCAGTTTGACGTGTTAATTTATGTAGATCAATTATTGTGAAATAAGAATGAATAAGAAAAAACAACAGCAATAAATACACGAGCAAATAAGTTTGAACTAGTTGTTTACAATTGTGAATATAAAACCCAGGCGTCTAGGGTAGGGACCGTCCACGTCAGCCCCAGTGACGAATTCTAGTAAACTAGTGCGAAAAATTCGCATTCAAACATCAATTTTTATATAGATTATTAGAAAAATTGAAATTCAACTTCGTTTCAAGTCATCCAATGTAACTGGTCAATAGCACAAATGAAAGAACTTGATTCACTAGTGCTCATAGACAAAAACGAACACCGTACCTCAATTAGAACCGGAGATAAGAAGCTTTGAGTAGAGAGAAATTCCAGAAAAATCACGTTTGAGTATATAACTTAAGAGGGGCGAAAGGTAGATATATTCCAATGCTTGTTGCGTTATCTATGCAAGAATACCTTTCATTTAAAAAAAAAATAATGCAAATCGGGCGGATAGAACTGCCGGACGAACTCGGAATAATAGATTACCTATATTAATAATTCAGGGATGATTATTAAAAACTCATGTAGAAGCTCCTGTTTCAATAAAAAATTTAAAAAAAAAAAATTATTATCGACGGTACCCGAGACGAAACGCCATAATTTTTCCGCCGGCATTCTACACAAATAAATGTAACATATATTTATGCGGAAAGTGTACATCCAAGATAGAATTTACATGTAAAAAATGTATTGAAGACAGCAGTAAATAAAAATCTATAAATTTTAAATAAATAATTTAGAAAAAAATTGCCTTTTAATACACCCGTCAAAAAGACGGATTTCAGTAAAAAATGGTATATGTCCGTAAATCTAGCGTTAATTAGCAGTTAATTGATCGCAGATAGGGTGCAGGGTCCAAGGTGTCCGAAAACGAAGATTGCGCCGAAATCTATCAGCGGAAAGGCGGTTAATTACAATAAACAAGAACGATCGTGATATAACACCTTCACCGATTGGCCCTTTTGCCCGTTCCTCGTGGAGCATGGTGAAGCAGAGAGAGAGCAATAATTCCAATCTCCGCAGCACGAGTGGTGGGCTTATCTAATCAAAGTGTGGCGGCTCCAGAGGACGGAAATAGCGCGGCTTTTTCCTCCTCTCTAATAAACGGGCCCCTCCCTCCGCTCGTCTTACGTCCTCCTTCACGAACCGATCAGCCAGCGTTTTCAGAATTTTTGCTACGATCCTTTTTCCTTCTGCATCGAATCAAAATATCACGGAAATCCCTCTCGGTTGAAAGCAGGAAATATTCGGAGATTCGTGGAAACAAATTCCAAAAATCTAGGATCAATTTGTTACTTTCCGGTGTAACTTGATATACTCGAATTTCCAGCTTTTCCTATCGGGGAAAAATCATTTCGCGAACGGAAAACCCGGCCTCAAACGCGGAGCAATTACTAGCCAAGCAAATTCAATTTCATCTTTTGACTGACAGCGCTCGTCCATCGATATTGTTTTCGATGATTTTCCACGGTAGCCACTTTGTTCCCTTTCTCCATTTCCCTCTCTTTACCATTCCCTGTCATTTATACTGGCAATCAATGAATATTTTCGAATTTTTTCAATTTTCAAAGAAAAATCATATTTTTGCGCATTTTATAATTTTACACTTTTGAAGCGTTAAACGAATTTCTATTAGGTCGATTTAGAAGTACGTTAGTCCCTGTAACGCCTCGTTCCATGCCACTTTTTCAGTATTTACACGAGCTGACGAGCGTCGAATTACAGAAATTGCACGATTACCGAAACAGCCGGTCAAAGCGATAGAAAGGGGACGGTTAAAAAGGGGGAGGAGGGTGGTGATTTTCGATAACAAAAAGCTCACGATTATCCATGGAATAATGATAGCCGGCAGGTGTCTGCGCTTCGGAATCGTTCGCGAGGACAATGAGAGCGCCGGTTGTTTTGGCCGACGGCGGCCGTACACGGCTGCTCGTTACATAGATTGTCCCTGGTGCGTGCCAGGCCGAGGAGACACGCCAACGTGTTCTGGCAAAACTCCTGTATGCAATATGTCGTGATGCGTGTCCCGCAGGAGTCCCGACTTCACGCGACAACGCCTCCCTATTCCTTCCGCCGGAACCGAAACGGGCCGGGTAGTTTTCAGCATTAAATATCAATTATACTTCTATTCAATAATATCGAGATTCGATAGAAAATATCCGGGTAACGTTCGGTAAATTTCCATCGGTTTTTTTTTTCACCGCACAGTTTTAAAAAAATATATCAATCTCGATGGTTTTGATTTCTGGAAACTGGAGAGCTGTCAACCTTTCGCCGTTTAACGTGTAAACGTAATAGCGGGATTCTATTTTCCTACCCGTGGTATCGTGAAACTTTAATTCGATCGTTAAACGAGTGACCGCTGGAAAATCGGCGAATATTATAGATTTCCGTATCTGGCATCGATCGAACCGGGCCGGACGATAAAAATGTCAGCAAAATCAATCACCCGGTGGACCATTTCGAAAAACTCGGAGAAAAATAGAGGGGAAAAAAAAATAGGGAGGAACGATGGAACAAACGGGCACGCATCGCCCTACGCCTATCAATACTTTATACAACAAATGCGAAACGTCCGCAAAAAGCTGCCGTATTCGCGGTCGACTCCGCAACGGCTATTAATCTGATATCGAAATAACAGGCATTTTTTTTTTTCCTGTTTCTACGGGTCAAGCCAGAAATAGGTGGCACTCGTTTAAACTGGATCGTCCAGGATTTTTCGAACCCTTCGCTTTCGAATATTTGTCCATTGGACAAATATTTATGAAAATAAACGTACGCTCTGTGGATTCATCATTCGCGATTAATTAAAAAATACCGGCATTTAAATCACTCGGTTTACCTGGATTTTCATTATCATTGTTTCTACCACTTTCACCCGTTTTGACACGTTTTATTTTCCTCATGAAAATGATTTTTATTCAGTAACATTAATTGAGTACAAAAAGTTTTGTACTGAAAAATTAAGAAGAATTATTATTAATTGTGAGAGTTTGAAAATTTATTTTACCAGAAATTAGAGAAAAAGAGGAAAGTGAATTTTCCTCGAAGAAAATTAGCAACAATGACACGGGGATTATTTGTATATCAATCCCGTGTCGCAAATAAGCGGTGCACGGGGCCGGGTTATATCAAGCATGGTCAAGCATCGATAATTAACGGATATTTTTGGAGGTTTTCATAGTATATTACGTTAAGTGGATTACTTTTCGCGCGGCAGCGTGCTGGTAAAAGCATTGTCCATGTATAGCAGGAGGCTTGGTGAATAGCTAACCCAAAACACGCATACGCGTGGTACGCACGTCGACCACTGCATCATCGCGCACCATCTGCTCGGTAATGACTGGCCATTACCGCGTATAGGGACTTTCGTTGAATTAATGGTACATTTTCAGGGAATCCACGGCCAGTAGCCAGCCGGCGTAGCCGCGGATAGATCTCGCGAATAGATCCGTGGGATCACGTACCAGGGAATGGAAAGTGTTTGATCTACTCACTCGTTTTAGAACGCGGTTCCCTCGGTCCATCCACTGTCACCTTGATGGCCCTCGTGTAGGTCGCCACTTGGGGTGGTGTGGTCGACACCGTGATGGTGATACTAAAGCTTTTCCCTATAACACAATTATTCAACGTTATTTCAACCTCTCGTTTAATTAAACGGCTAAGTAAAGTGACGTTCATCCTGCCGGTCTTATCAATTATTATAAACGTGAATTAATTATTCATTCAAAAATTTTTAAATTCAAAGGGATTTGAAAATATTCGAAAAATCTAATTCGCTTAACCTTCCGAGTGTTTTATGGTTGGTAAAAAAATTCTCAAAGTATCCCACTTGTTTCGGATCAACACCTCCTTCCCGCGAAAGCAATCTGTTTTTAAGTGGTCCAAGCGTGCCGACACAAAGTAACTCGGAGGATAGCCGAAGGGTATAAAATACAGGTTGACTTTAGGAGGGTGGAGAAAAAGACAAGGGGCTCGTTCGAACGGGTCAGCGGGGAATTACAAATGCATATTAGCGAGCGATGGGCCGTTTAAGAAAGCGTAGTCAATCTCTGTGACGGACGTTTATGGAGAGGGAATTAATATACCCGGACCATCAACCTTAAGACCTTCACCGGTGATATACGCACACCGCTGCTCCACCCCCATATGTTCCTTATTTCTACCTTTGCAACAGGGATACTCTAAGAGACTTAATAATCATTGAATAATTTCAATGATTTTCAAAAATTTCTGCTTCAAAAATTAGAAGAGTACAATAATTATAATTTAATTATCAAAGTGAAATGAAATGAAAAATTTTATGAAGTATTATTTAACCCTTAAATAGTGGAGCCTGGGTCAATCGTGCCCCATTTACAAATTACCAAAGTTAAGTGTATAATTGTGGCTCTCTCCATGGTCCGCTGCGCGGTCTCGGGAGTCTCTCCATGGTCCGCCGTCCGAAGATTCAAAAAACGCATTATATGTTTCTTACTTTTTTAGGAAAAGGTTCCGTTTTCAAAGAATCTTGAAGTTCAACGATGGTCTCTCTAGGTCAGAGGGAATTATCGTTAACGAAATATGAAGAAGTCGGTTCGTTAGCGTTAAAGAGAGGATATCTAACGTGTCGCGGACATATAGTCGTTTGTGTTGGCGTAAACGTCAACGATTTGTAATTGTCTCCCCTTGGCGCACCCTGTTCCACCTCGCTGTGTCTGTCAACATGATAACCGGCATCAAACACCCCCAACCCCGCCGCCCCCGGGAGCTGCAACTGACTGCAGAGAGGAACGGCGTTATATCCTAGTTATACCGTGCCCTCTACCCCCTGCGCCCGACCGCTCCACCCTCCCCCAACCCCCGCGAGCCCGCGGTGCTGTCGCTCTCGCGCCAGTCATTGTATCCTTGTTATCGTCATCGTTCCGGCCGAGCGCAAAGTGGCTCTCGTTTCCAGAATACCAAAAATCGCGCGTGTCGCGGTCGCTCTTTCTGGGCGTTCGCTTTTCGAATCGATTAGCGGCATCGATCTGAAAACCCTTTCAACCCTCTCCTTCGCCCACCTCGCGGTCCGAATGACGTCGAATGATGTTTGTCGTTGACGGATCGTATCGACGTTACAATACCCTCTGTAACGACCCTTTACATCGCCGACGAACGAGGGTTGCGGATTGCTTTCGGAATCTTTCTATTGCTTTCATTTTCGCAATATCGGAAATATTCGTCGCGGTGTCTAAAGCGAAGCGTTAAAAGCGCGAAGAGAATGTGAAAGGGTTGGAAAGGTGGAGGAGGCTGTATCGTAAGTGATCGAAGGAAGGGGTTCCGCGCGCGACACCCTGCATCCTCTTTCCCTCTGCCGTTCGAGTCCATCGCATTTGGGGCTAATAATGCCGCACGGCCGATTCCCTCCCCTCCGATTCCCGGCCGGACCTGCGGTTAATACTCGATGATGGGAACGGTCATCTGCAGAGACAGGACACCCAGGCTGTGCATTCGCGAACGACGGACGGACAAACCGACGGACAAAACCGGGCCACGCGTATGTACCTATATATATATATATATATGTGTATATGTATATGTTCACTATCGCGAGTCTCGGTGCACGTTTCGGTGTGTCGGTGCGTTTCCAACGTGCCGAGGATGAGATGAACGCCATCCGAAACCGCCCACACAACTATCCATCCGAAACCACTCGAAACCGTCCGTTAATACTCGTGGCACCAACAAAGAGAGAGAGAGAGAAAGGGATAAGGTAGTGTATCTCGCGAAGGGCTAGCTGTACCAAGTGAGAGCCAGAAGCTGGGATGGAAAACGAGGGGCTCGGTGGAACGGGAACGTTGGAAGGTCCCGAGTCTCGCAACAGGATGTCTCTGCAATTGTCAAATAATTACTATCGGTGGTAATTTCAGCCGTGTCGATATAGACTGCGGTATATTACTAATTATAGGCACGGGCTGCCTCGGGACCGACGATGATGGAACGCCCGTTTCAGCCTGCAGCCCCTCTTTGATCCGGCGCTACCAGACTACCCTCTCTCTCTCCTTCTTTCTTCCCTGTTTACGAGCGGACCGGAACACCGTGAACCTTCGACCAAGGTGATAATTGCGACGATCCTACCCCTCCCTTTCGACCACACCGACTTTAATTCCTGAAAAAGATCGTTTCAACTCCGGTGAATCTATGACCCGATTCCTAGGAATTTTATTTCAACTTCAACTTCAAAGAATTAATTTATTAAAGATGAACGAAGATCATCATCCCTCGGGGAATCATCGAATTTTCTTCGGGATCGGCGATATCGATGGAACGCGATAGGATTCAATCAAATTAATAAGTCGCGGAAACAAAAACCTCGATGATAGGAGGGTAACCTACGCCCGTTCGCGGCCGGTACGAGCGCACCGGGGGTGGTTTGGTCAATCGTCGAAATTGAGTATTACGGATTATCGAGGAGAGATGGAGGAAAAAATATCACCCTCGCTAAAACAAAAAAAAAAAAGATCCGAACGAAATAGAAAAAAAAACAAAACAAAAAAATGATAAAAATGAACAAAGGGATCGAAGGATTTTGGCGAGGGACGTGTCTCTTTCGCTAATTGATTCCGGGGATAACAGCGGTCCGGTGTCAGGAGGATGAAATCCGCTGACCCTGCACTTCATGATCAAATCAAATGAAACATAGATGATGCTATCGACGGGCATGCAACCGGCGGGAGTGCAGTCCGGCTCGTTAATTCATAAATGTATCCTCCGTTGCGTGGGGTGCAAAATGCATTTGTAGGAACAAACGGGTCTACATACCTGCTGACCCGTGTGTTATATAATCGTCGTTGATCGACGCGCGTCCCTGAAATCCGCGACTTAATCGGCGCAAAAACGGATTATTTAAAAAGCCGAACTGGGGGATCATTCATTAAACGGTCGGATCCCCGATACGCGTGTAACTTTGATCGGCTCGTATTCGATGATTTCATTTGGAAATTGAAGCATCGATCACCCCTTTGCCATACAAATATAGACTCAACAATTGCGGTTTCACGCGGTATTAAACATTTTTAACGATTAATTAAACGCGATCGAAAATGAATGCTAAGTCGAAAATCCTTATTCATCGGATTTTAGAAAATAATTTTGTGAATTTAGCGGGTTATTTGATCATACGAGGGCATCGATCGGATTCGCTTGAATTTTTGGGAACTTGGCCTCTTTCTCCCCAGCCGACGGACGATGATTTCTGATTAACGGCCAGTTGTTTCGGATGCTAGGTCGGGGGCAACCGGCGGACATCGAGTAATGACTCTGGGGGCGGCGGGAGCGAGGGAACTCGCGGATACGAAGGGTTGAAAACCGACAGGCGGGTCGAACGGGGTTCAGGCCGGTTGATGACGATGATGATTACAATAACCGTGGCTTTTAGAGGGTCCGAAATCACGTGTACACGCCTATGCCGTACAGATAATTTACTGGCTGCCTTTTTTCCGACTACGACTTACAAAGCGGACCACCGCTGAAAATGACACGCGAAACCTCAAAACTAAACCTCGCTGTTACCTCTGTCCATAACTTGGATGATATCGCTACCGCGGTTCGATCGATTTTTAGACAAACACAGAAACGATGCAATTTGCAATTTCATTTCTACATTGTTCAAAATTGCATGAAAGACGATATTGTTGTTACAGAAAATAAAAAAATAGTGTACTTATACACTTAATTTTCCTTTAAATTCCAGGAAGTATTTTCAAAAATTCTAAGTATTTTTATAAATTTATTCCAGGAGCAACTTATATAATTTTTAAGTCTTTCTACTTATTTAAGTTTTCCATTATAAAATTTTGTCTATGTTGTATGATAAACTATTTGGACAAGGGTTAATTGATGTGTTTCAGACACTCACCCCTGCCGCTTCTACCGACGAACCTGAGGTCGTTGAACTTGGCGACTTGGTTCTTCATCAAGGCAGTGGAATTTCTTAGCTCGGCGCAACAGTTTTCATCGTTGCCCGCTCGCACTGTCACCAGAGTTCCATCGCCGACCTCGCCCAGGGCGACAACTTTGAACGCCACCGGAAGCGCCTTGTTGGACCGCCAGTGGGTCGGTAGTTGGCTGCAGAGAAAATACGGCGATCCTGCACACAAGATTTTAACTTACGTTAGAATATATTACTCCTATCATAACAAAGTACTGATTGTGTTTTAACATTGACAAACAAAATGGCTTCTAAGACTAATAACCTTAAATTTTGATTCTTGTATAAAATTACAGTAAACCTAACACTCCTGTTAGGTTAGAAAAAGAATTCTTAAAATATTCAGAGGTTAGTACCAGTTCAACATTCTTTTTTAACCACGTCATAAACTGAATCCAAAACACGCCTGCATCAAAACATTCCATGCCAATCATTCAAGTGAAAAATTCCTGTAAATCGTCGCTCGATACAAAGAAATTCCAGTAATGCAATAATAAATGAAACACAAACCTGTTCGAACCAATTCACCGGGATGTTCAGCCTGTGCCTCGCCGACGAGCCTCTCGGTCCACCAGAGCTCGCCGACGGCGGCACCCTCGCTCATTTCGCCACCACCTCCCCCGGCGTCGACGTCGTCGGCCTGTTGGTACCTGGTGTTCACCCCTTGAAGAGGCGCCAGTGAGGGGCCGCACGGGCCGGCGCCTTCGTGGGATCCAACGGTGGCGTAATTCTCCCCGCAGCCCACCGAGCCCACCGGTAGATGCATCACATCGGCCAGTAGCCGCCCCTCGTCGCCGAAGCAGGCACCCTCCGGGCAGGACGTCGTGATTTCACTTGCACAGCCCCCGCGGATATCTCCTTCACGGCTACCAGCTACTTATCCGGCAGCTCCACTTTTTTTCCACGCGACGGATAACCTCGCTGTTTACCAACACGTTCATCGTATTCCCTTCAACGTGCACAATATCATCTTCGACATCGAAAACTCTTTCGATTCCATCGTAAGCGTCCTCGTTACTGTCTTCCCGCCAACGCCATGTTTAACGTATCGATATATCGCCGCGATACACCTTCGATTGAAAAAGGTCCTAACCTCCCCCGCCCCGCCTGTCGCACTTCTAGTCCGCGAGGTGTCACTATGTTATTACTAGTCGATGCAAGATCTCTGCATCGATTTACGAATCTATGCAATCACACAGCTCGATGACGTAACACGCGAAACGCGAACTCCTACAGGTTGTCGGTGAACGGATATCGATTCTCGATCGGTGACACATACGATTCGACTGGCACTTCTGTATCGTAATGGCGGCTCGTCGGTGACAGTTTGGTGACACAGTTGTTCGGTAATCGCGGTGTAAATGGACGATCTGTACGACGAAAGATTGAGACGCGTCCACACGAACGTCAGTCGCGGTCGACGGTGCGCGACGTAATGCCGGCGGCGCGGCTTTGGCCGCGTGTTCCGCGTAAGCGGCCCGGGACGGCCTAAGCCTTGCAATTCCAACGCTCCCCACTGTTTTCCCTGTGTCCTCCCGCCGCGTCCCGGCTCTCCTCTTATCCCCTCTGTGTCGGATCGCCCGCCCTCCCATCGTGTTGTGCCCGTTTCGTGGCCACTGTCCCTCGTGTTTTCATATTTCTTCGCTTGTTTATTATAACCAGACAATATTCGTTTTTCGGAAGATCTTCGAGGAATCGACTGTCGTACGATTTCTTGACGTTTGAATGAATAATATAGGAAATGATTATTTTAAACGGTAAATATGTTTTGATTTTATGCAGATTGTATTTTTTACTTTCTTACGTATACGAATTTGAATTAGAATAGTCGCGCAGCGAAGAGGTTAAGCAGCGTCACTATCGAAGGGCTGCGACGATCGATGCGATAATCGATTCGATAGTTATCCCTTCGATAGTTGACTTATCGCGACAAAACGGGATAGTGACGCTTCCATTTGTCGTTGAACAATTCTTAATTAATTACTGTATTTTCGGATCTCAATTATCATTATTATTATTACTAGTAAATTATCTTTTCTGTGGTGTATTATATATTCAGTTAACCTATTGTTAAACAAGTATCACTTGTTATTTGTTGCGGAAGTAGAAATAGGTTAGCTTCGATCAGACGCGAATCACCTGACAACGGAATGTAATAAACCATATTTTGTTTTTTTTCGTTACAGATCAGGTGCTACAAGATAATTTTAGCAAGTTTAGAAAAAAAATCCATCGAAGGCCGTTTGGACAGTGTGAAAGGTACGCGAATGCATTAATATGCCTCGTTGTAACGAGTTTACGGAAATTCCTGTGTGTCATCGAACAACTATTTCTATCTATAAATTTATTTGCATGTCCGAGCGAATTATGTATGACTCACGTATCAAAACCCATGGCTCATATAATATTATATTCAACATATGTTTGCAGGTTATACGGTGTCGTTCCAACGATATACCATCGGGGGAATTAATTCATGGTAATTAGTCGTTTCTCTGTACAATCTTTTGGCTAGTTGTAACACCGATAAGGAGGAAGTAGTATCGTCGAAATTCCCCATGTTATCATGTTATTCCCCAAGGCGGGCCAATCTTTCCGTACCCGCGATATCGTAATCTTGTTGCTTTTTTAGAGACTCTCATCCCTTTTCCAAAACGATCATTTACAAAATACGTTTGATTTTTTTCCAATTGGAGAAGGGGTTGAGAGGCTTATCCGAAGGGGTTGAAAAACGGGGTGAGTTTACCCAGTTTGGCCTGGATCCACTGGGATCCTGGTGTTCCAGCAAGGCGTAACAAGTGTCTGTTGTGACGTCACGCGAGTTCCTGGAGGCGGAGCTTTGGGATAGGGAGAGTAGGTGGGGGTGGAACTCCGCATCGTGAATCGTACGCCCCTCCCTCGTGATTTTGTTCCTTCGCGCTATCGCCACCTTCAACCTCCTCCTTCTCTCCCGCGCGGCCTCTTTTCCTCTCTTTTGAACTTTCCTCGGTGACCCCCCTCCATCGAGTTACCGTACTCCAGGTAGGGAGTTGCTACCTGTGATAGCCATTACGAAATGCAATCCAGGTGTAAATTTATAAAATTGCATCTTTACCGGCGTGTCTTTCCATCAAACGATAGCATTAATCGATCGTTTTATCTTGTTTCAATTTGAAAAACCATGCCAGAGTAAAAAGAATGTTTCCAATAATTTTTTTTATTGCAGTAGAAATGCAAGATCCCAGAAGAATCGAAGGGAACTTGCACAGAAGTGATCCTTCAAAATCATCCAGGAAGTCATCGACGGGTCTGGTCATCCGGTGTGCCGATAATTGGCGGTCATCCTAAGGTAAGAATTTTCCCAAGAACACGCATGCGAAAAGATCGTGTGTAAGGCGCTTTAAAGGTCTCCCCGTCGTCGTGTTCCCGCAACGCTACCGTTTATTGCACTGTGGTCTGCTAAAGTGCAATCGAGGAAGCAAATGCGGTTTCACTCGTTCGTGCGGACTCGCAAGAATGTAATTAACCCCTCGGAAGTGCACGCTGCGCCGACCTGTGGCCGATTTTCTCTTGCCTTTTCTTATCTGGCCAGGTTTCAGACGATACACGACGGACGCCATACCGCGTCGGTGATCGGTTTCGTCGATTCACACCGGATCACCGCAAAAATCAGGCCCTCGTATCGTTGTCGTGTAACCGCAATTACTTACGCGAAAGACGTCGGTCGGGATCTATCGCAATCGTCACGCTCGTTTATGGTCATCGAACCGCGATTTTCGATGGTCTTCTCCTAATTGGAGATGTAATTAGCAAACCGAACGCTGTCAAGGAAGTCGCAGAGAGATTTCTTTTTAAATGGAAAGAAGTTTGAGTTTAGAAAAATTTGGAGGAAGTCATTAGGACGCGATCTTCCTTGAAGCAAAGGGGGTTGCGCGATACTATTGTAGAAATTTGAGATTGTAAGGAACAGGTTGAGCCTGATAACGGAATGACGGTCGAAGGGAAAAATAGGAATATGTTTTTTTCACGTTTTTTTTATCGGAATAACGATATCGCCTGGAAGCGAGTCACTTCCAGCGCCACCGGAAAGGCTTCGTAAGACACGCTTATCGACGGTTTGTTTCTCAGAAAAAAATATTGTTCAGTTATAGGAAGAGTATACGCGTAGGATCTTGGCGAGGAAAATTCTCAGTCTCGTCTGGGTGTAAGTTAATCTGCCTTTTGCGCGAAAGCCAAGCTAATGAACTATAAATAAGGGAGGGATACTTACGGCGAGTGGACAGCCGCACTTACTGACCCTACGTAATTAAAATCCAGTCCTAAATCAGGACTAGGGACACGATTAGACGTCCTCTCTTCCCGTGTCCCTGTAAAGCCGAAATCTCTGACCCTTACGTCCTCCAACCCTTTTCTCCCCTTCGTTCTTACGTTCACGCATACGCGTGCCATTTTATCCTTTTATAAGCTTCGTTGTCTTTGAACTTTTCGTTTGAATAAATTATAAAAGTTTGATAGAACTATACATAACAGTGCGATTAATAAAAATTAGCTTTGCTTTTCGTGCATTAGAAGGAAAAATAATTGTGTCACGGCAACAATAAGTATTTCTATTAAACGAAAAAGTGCTGGTGGCCCTTCGTGACCACGCAGTTTCCGTTTCCGTCGATGCAATTCCGTTTCCGCTAATCCAACTGCAAAGCGTGCAGCTAATAATACTGTTGGGGTGGCCATATAATTAGGGGGTGGAGGTGCAGTCAAGGAACGCAAAATGAAAGGGGGTGGTAAATTTGGAAGTCGAATAATAAATTCATATTATATTTGGATATAACGATATTTTTGTTTATAATTGTTTCAATTTTTTAACTCATTTTAATACGACTCTTTTATAATATTTGCGTTAACGGTGGAAAAGATATTCTTTTACATATAATTAACGTGAAATATTTATGAAAGAAAATCTGCCACTTTGAGAGGGTAACGCGTGGATCAGAGGAGAATAAAATAATGAAAAGGGAAGTGATAATTAGGACGACAAGCGGAAATCTCGAGTTCTCATGTACGAAACAAATGGAGGGTGGAGAATATGGTACACGTACCATTATCCTCCACCCTTGCACCCCTTTTGGCTAGCCATACTTTCCACGACCACCGACGTAGATACGTCCACCCTTGTATAGTCCGTTAATAAGCTTAATAAACCCCCTGTGCGATTACCTTTCTCTCTAGTGTCCACTGTATTCTAGATTCCAAGGATACAGGGATGGCTCTCGATTCCATGGTCTTTGCTAAATTATATTCGGTATTCCAACAGAATTTCGGTTACGAACGATATACTATTTCAGAAAATATCTATGAAACATTCTTGAAAGATTGGCAATTTCGTTTCATAAATTCATTTCAATCAGAGTAACTAATTAAATATAATTATTTCGTGTTCCTCAATTATACAAAAATGAACTTTCTATCATTTTTCTGAATTGTTTTTATATTTTGTCACTAAATTAATAATTTTCCTCTTAATTAGTTCTAAATTTAAATATGATATCGTGTTAGGGACATGCAAAATTTTCTCTTGTTTGCAATAGAAATTTATCTTTCCTGCTTCTCTCTATTCGACCTGAGTAGGGAATGTAAGCCCGAACCTTGGTCATTGAGAAGGACATCAAAAGGATAACAACACAGATGTGAGGCATATCCTTTCTGTATCGTTCTCTCGCTCTTCATCCTATTTGCGAGAACGACCTTTAAAGCACGAGTTTTGTCGGTCGTTCCAAGAGGATTGGGAAGCGTAAATTAAGAACGTTTGGGTAGAGCATTAAGCTGAACTGATCTGACTTGAAAGTAAACATCAGTGCAGTAAATAATCAATATTTAGTACGCATAAGATACAGAAAGACATTCTTTCTTTGTCCAAGAGGAAGTATTTACTTGTAATAAACGGTTGATTATGAGATCATTAATTTTCTGTGATAATTAGTATAAAAATTAAAGGATTGAAGATCTAATCTACTGTCAGCAGTAAATTGTATCCTAAATGCAAATAAATCGCTTTGTTTGAATACTTGCAAAAGAATACGAATTTCTTGATATAATAAGATAAAAATGCTTTGTCTACTTTATTTTTGAGTTTGAATTTTATATTAGTACGCTTTTTGAATACTACTAGCACCATCTGACGAGAAATATTAAAGCTAGTAGAAAAGAAAATTGTGTTTATTGGAAAAACAAATAATTGTATTTTTCTGACAGGAAAAATAAAAATCACGAATATTAGTATTAAAATTCATTTAGGAATTGATAATTAAAAATATTACAGATTTCGGACATAAATGCTATAGCCATCTAACGGTAGATCATTAGAACTAACATTTGCGCATTTTTAGTCAAATGTTTCATTATTTCGACTTGATATACAAGATAGAAGCAATGGAATATATTTATTACATGAAATAATATAAATGAAAAAAATTATGTGTCTAATGAAACACCTTTATTGGCTGCAGGTAGATAAGTGGATCTCGTTTTACCTGGAATCTATTGGAATGGTGTTCAACTTCTGGAGTTTACCGAGAGGACGTCGCAGTCGGTGAGTGCACATTATTTATTAATTTAATAAAAAAAAAATATTTTATGAGTGTGCAAGAGGTTTAGTATTTCTTGTCTAATAGCAAGCTTCTTTTTCATCATTGTGCAATTCATATTCAAATAATATTTTGAAAGTTGTTTTATTGAGACGATACAACAGTCAGCATGCAAAGATTACATTGAATTCAGAATCGTACAACGATATTTTATTTATTTATATCAACACGCTTGCTATGCAAGGTGTTTGATTAGGGGTGGTATCCTTGGAGAGGGTGGTAGCTGGGATGATTCTGAAGAACTTTTTCCTTTACCAAAATGCTCGTCAAGGCTTAGTTTTAAAATTATTAATGAAAAACACTGTCCAATTAGAACCCAGCCACGGGAGTGTTGGCTACGAGAAGCGCGCTCGACCGCGGTCGCGAACAAACTGACTCGGCTGCGCGCCGGTTCGTAACCCTCACTCCCGAGCATGCGCACTATGCGCGATGTGATTGCTCGGTGTTTTTCATTAATAATTCAAAAACTAAGACTTAACAAGCATTTTGGTAAAGGAAAAAGTTGTTCAGAATCGTCGCAGCTACCATCATCTCAAAGGAAATCACCCTTAACCGAACACCCTGTATATAAATTGGTAATAAAAGCATTTGTTATTAACACTGTCAGTACTGTAAAAAGATACTCTTAAAACACAATTGAATAATGTTCTACACAAATATGTTAAATTTTAATTGTTCAATGTAGATCTCGATATGTTTTATTTATTGCTTATTTGTAACATTTATTTGCAATAAATGTCACATACTTTTGACACACATGTTAATTATACTTTACATTTGTTGCTTTCATTTGAATAATATTAATATGAAATTAAAAAAATTCTACAGTTATTATTAATAAAGGAGAAGTTTTATTATTCGAATTTTAATAACATTTTTAGTTCATAATGTATAAAATTGACATTTAATGTGTATTTTATGAGTACCTTTGAATTGTTGAACAAATTTTACAGCACTGATAACAATAGCAAGCAATTATCCCCACTGTTATTGATATTTATTTAATTTATAATTTCATCACAGTTTGATTATGTTTTTCTCGTTAACTGTTAACTATGCACTTCGTATTGGCATGAAATGATAAATAAGACCATGCCAATACATCATTTATAATTCTCAATAATTATTCGTGATTATATTTTCATCTCATTGCACATAAAATTATTCTTTAAAGGCTAAAATTTAATATGCGTTTAACTTTTCATTTTATGTTATTAAAATGAAATAACTTCCCAAATATATATACAAATTGGGCGAGAAATATTAGATCAAGTAGAAGGAATTTTCCAAATAATTTTTCACTTTTACACACGTAATATTTTTCTTAAATATTGGTCCATTTAAAACTGAATAACAGTCGTATCCGAAATTTTTCACTTTTCGCTAAGAAAATCATTCTCGAGCATTTCCATGACCAATTTTCAATTTCCAACCAATTTTTCTTTATCCCCGTTTGTATTAAAAATAAATAAAACCTAGCGTTGAATTAACATTGTTGAATAGTGTTTCATCGTCGCGGTATCACCATACGAGAAATATATAAAAATAGATTTTTACATACATTTAGCTAAACCTTCGTTTTAAAAAACAACGCACGTATCACTCGACGTCAGTGGATTGTCACGTTTGCTAGTTTATTTTTTTTTCTTAATTTTCATTTTTATACTTGATCTGAGCACCGTACAAAATTCATTTCCCTCGGGAGGAAGCATTTTTTACGAATATTTATACAGTAAGATGTAGGCCTCGATTATGCGAACTTACAAAACGTTTCAACAATAGAATAAGGTAGGTTTCTTTATGTAATTCTTTTTTAAATCATCCAGATCATTTTTGGAGATGTTTCAACAATGTATAGTACCAAACACCGTAGATTTTCCCAGGAAAAATAGCAATGCCCTGGTTTTTCTTTCCTTCAAAGTTCTTTCCTTTCAAAATTGAAATCGAGGAGCAGAAACGATACAATTCTCAACATTTTTCTTATCACAAACAATGAACAAATACTATACGTATATTACGAGAAGGTTTTACGATTATTGTTGGCAGAAACGTGTTTCATAGTTCAAAGATAATTCCTACGTTATATTCATTCACGTAATTTACCACGTATGAAGGTATATTAATTTATTTGTCGTCAGCGTGGCAAGTTTTACGCTTATCGTATATAGTATCTCGACGAAAATAATCAACTTTCCTTTTGAAAAATGATTGTCTTACGACGGAACGTAATTCACGGAGAGCTTCATCAGCTTCGCTTAACCCTACGTTTTGAGATCATTGAGCATCTGATTACGTTCGATAGTACTTGTAGTTAAGAAAGTGAAAAAATCTCATTGCCTAAGTAATTATTTACAAAAGAACAAAATCTTCTTATTTCTGTTTCAAATTTTCAAATCAAAAAACCAGGGTCGATTCTTCATTTCTAGCAAAATCTTTCAATATTTTGCACACCATCTTTTTGCAATAATTATTTCTGAAAATGATCTAAACTTCATCGTCCTCTACGTACAAAATCGTCTCCTCGTTATCACCAAAATCCTTCATCATCTGTCCTCGTTCCATCATAATCAAACGTTCCGTTTCAATAGCCATCTTGTCGCATCTTCTAATTCCTTGTCGATCGTGTCGCGAGTTCTCGACACCGTTCTCCGTAAGGTTCTCCAGTTCCGGTTCCTCGAGTAAGGCATCAGCTTCGGTGGGTCCATCAGGAGTGATGATCGTGGGGATATTGTCATCGATCTCGATGGTGCGACTCTCTTCGGAATAGTCCGCGCGACTTTCCTCGGTATCTAACGACGTCGCGGCGAAATACTTCAATTCACCTTCGGATCCTCCGCTCTCGACGACCGCTTGCGTGTTCAAAGAATGTCTACTAGACTGAGCGTCCTTTTGTTTATCGAACGATTGCCTTTTATTGTCGTCCGACCTGGAATGGTGCAACTTTGGTTGCCGTTGTCTCCTCAGGTTCTCCCCGCTGTTGGCTCTCGATCGAATTTCCATCTCGTCCAATAAATATTTAGCGCAGTCTATACTGAATCTGTCGACGGATAGTTTCCTGGAATGAAAGTATCGGTGAATTTCTTTCCTTTTTTCGATTTGAAAATATCACCTACCTGTAATCTCCTCGACGGAAGTCCGGGCTCTTGCGAAATTCCAAGCTGGCTTTACGTTGGCCCATTGATCTCTCGATCCTACGCTCGGTAACGATTTTGTCGAACGACATTTTATGGAAACTCGGCGAGGAGATCTTGCGGAAATCCCTCGGGGATATCTTGGTCAGGTCTTTCGTCGCGGTTAGCTCCTCGAATAACCTTACGTCTATGGAGTTTCTTTTCCTTGGTACGAAATCGTCCGGATACTTGCAATAGGCACCTGCTGACAAAACAGGAAAATTGTTAGCTTTGAATAATCAGTCGTTCAAGGATTAATTTGGAGAATGTTAAGAACCTGATAATTTAGGGGAATAAACACGACCGGTTGGCGATCGTGCAGCTTCGTCAACCTCCTCGACGTATTCTACTTTCGTCTGACGAAGTAGTTGATGACGCCTCGCTGTGTCTGACCTGTCCTTCACTTTCAAAGTGACTGGACCTTTATTAGGAATGTGGAGATCCATCGCCATGGACACTTGACTGCCTCCCATCTTTTGTTGATCCAAACTTTCTCTACTTACCTATCGGAGCCAACAATTGATTAATTGTATAATTGTCTAAGAGAATGATATTTTAATCTTACCTGATGAGGGCTGTAGCTTGGATTATCAACAGAGAGCGCGTGTCTCTGAAGCAATTCTGGATTCAACAATGCGCATCCAGCATATTTCGTAGTTCTTTTTCGTGGTGATTTTTTGTCTATCAGAGTCGGAGCACTGGGACTCTTTTTGATCGAATGCCCAGTTTTCTTCTCGTTCAGTTCTTTGGAGAATTGCATAAATTCTGCAGTTAATTGTTTTCTTGACACTTCTTGTATACTTGGACTTGGACTTCTGTTCACTTTGAACACTCCCAATTGGTGATCCCATTTGGTTGTCTGACTGGACGTGGATCTTCGATTTCGTTGGTTTCTTGTGTTTTTTATTGTCGATGTTTGACTGAACCGGAAACGAGCCGGGACCACTTTAGCTGCGTTGTCGCGTGCCTCGAACGTCATTACACAAGCCGCCACTACGATAAATCCTGTGGAATTTATTAATTACAAAATCACATTTTGTAGAATAATAATTAGTGAAAATTAGTGTATTAGTTATTTTAGAAACATTGTTATTCCTTTATTTATATAAAGAAAAATCGTTATTCAGACAAATCATTTTATTTCTTTCATAATTAAAGAAGTAATTTATATTTGGTATAAATGTTTATACATATATTAATAAAAATATTTATAAAAGTAGAGAAAATAATGCTTAAGGTGAAATGGAGTTACAAGAGGTACTTCTACCGTGAAGCCTCCATAGCTCAGGGGTTAGAGCACTGGTCTTGTAAACCAGGGGTCGAGAGTTCAAATCTCTCTGGGGGCAATTTCTTTTTTTCTATTTTTTTTTCTGAAATATGCATCATTTGCATACATTTAAAACAAATACATCAAATATTATTTTTCTACATCATGCAAATTGTATTTTTAATTAATAATCTACTTTATTTGTTACAACGTTTAACTTAGGTATTTCTTTAATTAATAACATGCAATTTCATTAAGAGAGGTTGATTATTTATCATGTATGTCACTCATGTATGTCGTAAAATGAAATTCCAAATGAAATGGTCTTTGATTCAGAACATGTTAATGTTTCCAAACTTCTATATCTGCTTTTCATCGAGTTTAGTTTGAATGGTATACAATGCTGATATGAAACATGTAGATTACGAGTACATAAAAGTTGGCATAACAGTACTGATAAATGTTATCGTTACCTCCTACGCCCATCACTATTGGGCCAGCATAACTGAGGTTGTTCAAATGGAATCCGCGTGATTCATTCTTCACTCTTATTGTTAGATTGCCTCTGATCTCTTGCGCCACTGATAGCTGATCTGCGAAGTATCCTGTACAACATAAATCTTCCTAACAACATACTCTTAGAACACGTTCATTTTTATGATTAATGAAACATTTACATAATCAGCTTCAGTGTAAATAGTCATATTTAATATTTTATATGAACTTTTAAAGATTCATAAGTTGTAGTAGTGCGAGGTTAGCGGATGACCACATTAATTAATTTTGAATCTTCTACTCACCTATGGTTGCCATGCAAGCTCCTAAAAGCATTAACAGGAGTCCAATTCCGAGAGCTTTGCAAGCGTACCACAAACACCGCGTTGTCACCTTCCCTCTCACCACCTGAAAAATATTAAAAAAATATTAAAAAGAGGAGTTTCTCTTAACGTTTCAGAGAAACATTTGCTGATTCGATTCTGTGATTTTAACTCGTCATATAAACTCCTTTGATGTTTTCGAAGTACTGACGTTGTGGTATTATTGCTTTTATGAGTATTTTTAGCTTTCAAAGTTTTGTTCAACAAGAAGTCGTGTTTTTTTAGCGAGCTGGGCATTTAAAAATAAATCCTTATAAATTGAAATATGAATAAAAATTAATTCAGTGCAGGATTAAAAAGGAATTGTCACTTTAATTAATAATTTAAATATTTTTTGCTTTATACGTAGCCAGCTTTAGTAGGGAAAAATCACGAAAGGTCAAAGTAAATCGTTATAAATTTTACGTTTACGCGTGTAAAGGGGTAGTTTCGGGTGAAACGAAAGCGAACAGAGGGACATCGTTAGCGATACATTAATTCTCGAGGTTTCGGAAGTTTCAAACATACCTGGACGTTCCAGTGTGCTCCTGGACCGCAGGCTCTTCTCTGCGTCCCTTGCCAATGGATGCTTCCTTGGGGCATTTTGCTCTCCTAAAGTTGAATATATACTGCATTATTAACATACCTTGCAACGAATTTACTGGAAGATTATGTTAGAGAGAAATTGCAGCCGAAAATTAGCCATACAGAAGCTTTGGACATAATGAAGAAAGGCAGACTATCCTTCACAAAGGAATCACTATAAGATTAATTAACACTTATAATTAGTTTAGTAATTTCTAATTATTTTTGAAATTTAAATACTTCTATTTAAAAATTTGAAACACAGCTGCTCGATTTTATCAAAATTAGGGATTTCTTTTTCTATACATTCATTAAAAATTAATTACGATAAAGAATTCAAGAAGAAAATTAAAATTTCCTTTAATCGTCGACGCATCTCACATTTTTCAAACTCACCCTCTACTTTCCATTCATCCCTCTCACGAGTGATTACCCGTCGAGTGTCATTTCACCGTGTATAAAAAAAAAAACCACGCAAGAGTGGCTTTTTTCTATCGAATACAATTGCTTGCATTGATTCTGAAGAAATCCCCTTCGTGTAGGAGTATTGTACACACGCTAGTTAACATTCGTGTTTGAAAGTGGAGTAGCAACTCGCTCAGTGCCTCATTTCATTTAACAGAAGGCGAAACTCCTTGGACTGCGTCGCTTTAATTCAACTTCCCTATATAGTACTTACAGCCGGCTTTTACCACCCTCTCGTGCTCATTCAGTTTTGCACAAGGGGTTGGGTAGACAGAAGGCGGGCCCGCACAATGTGTTCGTGTGTAAAATGATCTGTCAGTTCTCCAAGTGTGCACACTGTCGCAGGATACAGAACACACACACATAGAAGCATTGTACGTTTCTGTTTCGCATCTTTTCCTGTGCCTTGTACAACGTGGAAAATTCTATCGATCCGAATCCCTTCTTTACGCTTTCTTTCACAAGCTCTGTTTACAACCCGAAACATGCCTATTTTATCCCTCACGGGCTTACCAGCGATTCCGGATCTCCTCCAAGTTGATCGAGCTTTCACTGCCGTCTTGAGAGTTTTCTCTTTATGTTCTACTTTCCTTTACCGTTCGCTGCCGTTTTCAAGGGATATGAATCTCTTAGGGGCTCGACTGATCGAAGACTTCATATTTTTATGAAAAATGAGCGAAGAAATGAAATATCTGTTATTATTATTAATTTTGTAAGGTGAATTGAAAAACGAAATTATTATACGGGCAAATAAATGATTGATATTTGAATATTTTGATAAACAGTCCACTGATTAATTATATACCGTTTCGTGAAATTCAGTTTGAAATTTTGTATGAATATTAAACACGGTCCGTTTTCATTTGAAATATTAATGTTTCATGAAGTATTATTAGATTCGCAAATTTTCAAACCAGTCACTTCTTTTTTTGAATTTTACTCGCGAAATTTCGTCGAAGGTAAGATTTAAATACTGTTTTTCACTTTTAAAGTCTGAACAAATATACATTGAAAATTCTGCAGAAAATGAGTGTTGATGATCTGATCAGTTTGATTTCTGAAAAGTTCATACATTGAAAAATCAAAATTTGTTATTTAAGAATAAATATTATTTTAGCAAGATGGCAATGAAAATTAATATCCTGCTTGTAGGTTCATAAAAATTTATGATAATTATAGAACACTGTTAAATAATGAGTTTGAAGAGGATCGTTGTAATCACCGAACCGGAGCATGTTCATTTGCATAACCACGACCTTTGCTCGTATTACGGTATTTTCTTTTGTTCGATCAAAGGCCTCGACCGCAATTAATGGAACTGTTCGCTTGAATAATGCATTGAAAGAAAAAAATAAAAGAATTTAGATATTCAGCAGGCTTTTTTCCGGATAATTTCATCGAGTAAAATCTTCCATCCATTTACGAAATTATTCGCGATAGTGATGGAACATCAGGCGAAAAGATATCCCCGTTGCTTTTAACTTCGTCCTCGGTTTTAATATACGAAAAGCGTCAGAATGCTATCGCGATCATGATTTATCTGTTAACGATGCTTCCTTGTCGAACGGATAAGAAATTTCAAGGTAGATAATGCGAGCTCGCCTCTTGTTGCAAGTATCATATTGTTCTAGAGTCTCTCAAAGAACTTTGTGCATTCGAGTATCATGTTTTTGCATAATTTATCATCCAGTCGCATCAGTTTAAAAGAACGAAGGAAGTTCCTTGCATGGTCTAATGGGAGATGAAGTATTAACATGACAATGCTGCTGCATCTTGTTATTATTGCAAAATTCAATGTAATAATTAAAGATGAAAAAAATAGGAAATTAGTTGCAATTAGTAGATTCAAATCTATTTCAAATTATTATTTTCTCATTTATATATTGAATTTTTGTAAAATAAATAATTTTACACTGAGTAATTAAATACTCTTATCTTTCATAATTACTTGAGTGCTTCTCTATGGTTGCTATTTTAATCCTTTGACTTTTTTACAGGTCACAAATTTAATTTAAAGAAGTCATTAAATGAGAAGAAAATATGAAAGACACTTGTTACTTTGAATTGAAAAATTAACTCGAACAGTTGGATGATTATATACTTCAAAATTTTTTAAAAAATAATTATCAAATCATGCACAATTAAATTCATGCAAATTTTGCTTACCTTCCTTCTCCAACTTCGTTATCGCATCATTTTCTTCAAATTTTATCTTCGCTGTATCTTTTCAAATTCTTATTCACACACATTTTTACTTTTCTTCATAAATCAAGGAACTGACGCGAATCGCACTGTTCACAGTTTAATCGCATTCACAGCTATGAAAATTGAAAACAGTCAATCATTGCGATACGATGACGAGGCGAGCGTCGCGACGCTTTATTTTTATTCAAACACGTGGTGCCGAGGGAAGCACGAAACGTACTCAGACTGTTCCATTTCAGTCGCGTTTATCATTTCAATGACTCCTCTTCGGGGTGTTCTCTGTAATTAACTGGTACACCTCATTAACGTGCGAATGCCAATTAATTCACGAAACTGCTGAATCAAACGTTCCTTATCATTATTTTTCTTTTTTTAAACTCTACAACGTGTCCTGTCCATTTTCGGGATATCGATTCGTTTTGTAACTGGAACGATCTGATTCTCTATATTTCATACATTTCTTTAATTAACTATTCAAGATCTTTTCAGTGAATCATTAAAGCTCTGCCACACGAAAATGATAAATCGATGGGACATTTTCAACGCTTCATGGAGCTTCTTAATCGAGTTGGTTAATGTAGATATTATTTAGAAATTTAGCCAGAGTTATCGCAGATTAAATTGAATAGGAATGCTCGTTACGTTATAACAGAATCAAGGAAACCAGAGTCATTAACCAGTAATCGATTGCTCCAATTCTGTTAGCCCATTTCAAATTTCCATTTCCCGTAGATTTGCATTATAAACGATATAAAATTTGCACGACTACTTCTTATTCCGTACCTTTGAAAAAAGAACACGAGGGCCAGTCAGCTCAATTTTTCATAATCCAACGATACTCTTTCGATACAAATTTTCCAAATGTTCATACAAAGAAATAATTAAAAAATTTCAAATCCACTCAAGTATCTCCTACCTTGGAACATTAAAATTCCCCAGGCTAAAAAATCATTCGTCTCCTCTGTCGATCATCCGCGATTCCTCGAGTCTCCTTCATCTTCGTATTTCCAAAAAGCTCACTGTCTATCGTTCAAAGAAGCATCAAACGGAATCGAAGTTCCATGCCGATGGGTTCAATCGGTCGGCAAAGTTTATGGGTTTTTATCTCACCCGGAGCTCCGTTTCATCCCGGAAGGAAACCACTGAAATCTTCACTGGATCATCCTTGGATCATAACTCACCCCTCCTTCGAAGAACCTTACAACTTTCGAACTCGATCTTCCGAACCTGTATTCACCACCTCGGCGATCGACATTCCTCGGACAACTCTTTTGTAAAATAAAAAAATAAAAAAATAAAAGAAGAACACTAAGAATCAAAATCGTTCACTAGATCATCGCGAGATGGAAGAAGACGTCGTTGTTGATCGTGAACACTGGATCCTCGTGATTTTCTTCTCGTTTCATCGCACGTTGATAGATCGATCCCTTCGATACTTTTGATCGCCGGTAGGAATTGATCGGTTATTGGCTGTCAGCCAGTAAGTCTGAAAACGATACTTAAATCACTAGTGCAGGATCAGGACTCGTGGGAGACGATCGACGATGCCGCTTGAGGGAGTGTCTCTACTCCTTCAGCATCACCTGTTGGTATCGTATCCCGGTCACGGCCTATACAGGGTGGCAAGGGTAAAATCTGCTCGAGCTCGTCGACGCGAAAACGCATGCGCGAACGCAGATCGATGTGTTATATCGCCGGCTCCTCTGTACGGATCTTCTCCGCTCGCCCTGTCTTTGTCTGCCACGCTCGATGCGTCGCGACGCTCGTCGATTTGACGAGTGCCATTGTGTCTATCGGATGCTCCTCTCTGGCTATCCTTTTTCGGAGCCTTTTACAATATTTCTGATCGCTTCTACGTATTATGTGGCCTGGTGCTCCAGGGTGTCGCATTGATTTTTCAACATTAATGGGTGTTCATGGATTTTTGAATTTTGACATTGATTTATTACGGACTTTGTTTTGGTAAAATTAATGAGTGTTGAGATTGATTTGTTATTGGTTTTCTTCTCTTTTTGTTGATTTCTTCATTTGGGTTCTGATTTTTGTTATTCAAGATCAAAAGTATTTCATTGATTTTGATATTTTGATATTTTTATATTATTGGTTTTCTGTTTCTTTAAACTTTAATGATTTTTGGAGTCTAAAGTACACTTTGTACTTAAAGCTAGAAACTGTTTGTAATTGAATAGTTTGCTCGTTACGATAGTCTGTGTCAATGTTTGAAAAGCTTTTAAAGAATAGGCTTGGATATTGCTTGGTTAATCGATCTTCGATATCGATTCCAATTCTTTTCTTTTCACTACGCTTCAACGAGGGATGATTTCCTTTAACGAGAGATTATTAACGAGTGTTAACGGTTCATTGGTTCGTAATATCTATAATGTTTACTTTTTGCTTTTTTAGAGAAAATCTCAACCGAGGCACCTTATTAACTTTTATTCGATATTCTTTTAATCTCAAAATAAAAACAGTGGACTAATTATATTATTAGTACATTTTTAAATAATATTATAGTTAATTAAGTTTAAATCAATATTAATAATAGTCATTTTTTGTTAATTTAAAAAAAGTGTTGTTTGTAAAAAATGATTAATTTTTAGGGAAATGAAGAAATTCTCTCGGGGTATTTAATTACTTTTTGTAAATAATGTTTATTAGATAATAGGTGCTTACGAGTATTAGGTAACATAATGTACTCTACGGTCCTTCATAGAAGGCGTACAAATCATTGTTCCAGCAATGTCTTCTAGATTAACATAGATAAAATCATTGTCGTTGTTATCGGTGTCGCCTCGTTCGATCGATTATCATCGATTTCCCTCGCATCATTTTTTTATCATGCGAGTCATTTGTCATCTGTCGACACTGATAAAATCGAATATGTTTATCCCAAATTTCGAAACCATTTAAATATTTTAATTTTATTAATTATCGTAGTCATCATAGTCTCAAATGATTTTTAATTAAAAATTTTCTTTCCATTCGGTACGTTAACCTTTCAACATTCTTCTCTTCTGAGAACTATTTTTGTTTCATTTCCGCGATAAAATCTTCGATCTTCGATAAACATCATTCGATTTTAGAGTGTTTTCGTTACGAGAGTTAACGACGATCGATTCAACGTTCTCCGCGAGTTTTCCAAAGTCAAACAAATGGAAAAATCCCTAAAATTATAGTAGTTATATGTATACGCGATCTAGGGATCACCAGGTTTCGATCTAAATAAAATTCTCGATAAACAAGGTATCACTTTTTCGAATGTTTCTCATCTAAATCCGCGTCAGAGTTATTATCATTTCTCGGCAAACATCACCCGATCATTTGTTACGTTCGCTCGATTTCCGCCTTGTTCTCGTTGCCATTCATTTCTCGCTTCTATAATTTATCGTTTCTCGTATAGTTAACAGCAAGTAACTTAGTCGTGTGTGTCTGTTACCCGTTTGCAACTATACGAATCCAAAGTCGAATGAAGATTCATTTATTTACGCACGGTATTCTGCGTACTCTCATCCTAGGATTCTCTATGTGTGTGTATGTTTGTGTGTTCCAAAAATTCGTGTCATTTTAATGTACCATAAAATTTGCAAAAAAAAAAAAGAATTTTAAGAAACGATTCATTTAAGATATCATTCGTCGTGGGAGAGATTTTAAATTAATTAAAAATCAAATTATCGAAGTTAAATATAGATATTTTTTAAGATGTTGTTTTGGAATGTTTGTAAATAAAAATAAGAATACCTGTATATCGTTGAGCATCTCAGGAGAAATAGCTCCATTTAGAAATATAAAATAAAAAAATGAAGCCAATGTCTTCTATGATTTTGAAGAAAGCAGCTTGTATCTGTTCAAATAAAAAAATAAAAAAATGTAAAAATACAATATTTTAATAGCAAAATGAATAATCATTAATTAGTGAAGAAAGAATAGAAAAACGACACGAATTTTTTAGATGACTTAATAATTAAATTTCTGAATGATTGCGTTACGATCGTGAATGTATTCGTAAAAGTTCCTTAGGTGATAGGTATCAATAGTGTATCCCGCTTTTGTAGCGTTAATAATTAATTTATTAAAACTTTCTATATCATCTTAATTCTCATAGTCTCTTTAATAATCGCCTATACATTCCATTTCACCTTTCTCTCACACTCATTTTCGCTCTCTCTCACATTTTTCATACTTTTTTTCTTTACAATCTTTCGTAAATAGCTGCCTTTGTAATCTCTTTCTCTCTCTCTTTTTTTCAATTTTATTTTAAGTTAAATTCATCTAAAAGGTTTCCATTTGCGATGCTTGTCGAAAAGCTCGAGGCATCTCGTAAAGTTTCAAAGAGAATTTTTAAATAATTCCATGGGACACATAATTATGCTGAAAATGTTTATAAAATGAAATTTTAAATTTTGGAGGATGTTAAGTGTTTTCTTTAATATTTAGCTTCTTATTATTAAATTAGAGAAATTAAAATCGTCATTAATTTTTATTGGATTCACCTCAAGCTTTCGACTTTAACGATAAATCGAAGAGATACATGGGCGAAGTATTGATTATTCATTTTTCTAATTAATTCAAATATCAAAATTAATAATTAGTGCTTTGAGTGGCACATTATAATCATAGATTTATTTTTAACAAATCTATTATTACATTTTCATGATATTTTACATAAACTTTCAAAGTTTAATTAAAATTATTTATAGTTAGCTAATTAGGAATAGGTGACTCAAAGTGTCATATTCTAAATCTACTATAATTCTATAATTCTACATTTTTCTAAAAAAACAATATTAGAAAATCTTATTTTATATCTACAATATCACAATCTTAAAAAATGAAATAACAAACCTAATTAATACCCTCATACATAATTAATTTGAAAATCCTCAATATTTTGTCTTCTCTAAAAAATTTTCTATATTTCCCATCTTTGGATTTTGAATATTTCCTAGAAAAACACGAATCAGTAGTTTCATCCCTTTATCTCTTCGACCATCAGGAAATTCATCGTTCGCCACGAATGGTCAGAAATGTATCTCACATTCTCGAGGAATAAATTGAAAAATCGTAGCCACGATCAGACAAAGAAACTTGCCCTTGAAATTTCTTAAACCCTAGCGAGTTTCAATTTTTTTTCGAAACTGCATATCCTCCTTCATCCCCTGTTATATACATATGGATTACACGTCGATATATCCTATTTACATGCGCGTGTCTCGTCTTGCCAAACTTGCCCTTTTGTGCGTTTGGACATGTCGGTTGTAATTGTATATAATATAGTAAGTTATAATATTATTAATCTGAGTTTCTAGGCAGTTGTGTGTTGTTTATGTTATGTACGTTAAGATTTATCTCTAAGGATCTCCTATTATTCACTCGCACCCTTTACTCATTATTTCACTTTCATACATTTTTGGCCTCTGGTTTTCTCGCTAAATTGTTTCGAAAAAATCAAGGTTCTACGCATGCATATGCTCTAGAGAAGTTATAGAAAATAGAATGCGTTTCATTGATCTCGTTCGAAGCCTTTTAAGCCTTTTCATTAAGAAATTAAGATTTCAATTAATACCAAAGCTATTCATAGAAGATTAGAAATAAAATAGACAGTGGAAAATTTCCACTGCAAATCAAGTTTTATTATATTTACATTTAGATAATCGATTCATCGAACGAAATCAATTGAAATCAATACTCGTGCTAAAAAATCGAATTTCAATCGCTTTTTGGTAATACTTTAAAAATTAGGGGTGGGTTTCTTGAAACCCAAGAAAGTTTCATCAGGAACTGAAGAAAATTTTCAATTCTTCGAACGCACTTCAAGTTTCGAAATCTTACAAAGTTTCGAGAATTCAAATCTCACCCCTTCGATCCACCCCTATTTGAAAATGATATTTAAAAGATCTCACTGTTCCTTTGCACGCATCATTATCTCATTCGCATTCATTTACACTCATACTCGAAATGATTATCTAGAGTTCCTCTTCTCGAGTCGATTCGAAATACTTCCTTATCTTTTCTTTCATTTTTTTATTTCACCATCTCGTGCAGCTTCGATCTCCGGCAATTTTCGCCCGAAGGATAAATGATTCTCTTTGACGTCTTTCTCTTTTTTTTGTCCCATTTTTCTTTATACAAAGAATACACCGTCGCGGCTATACGAAACTATAGAACGGTATCATTTTGTCTACACATGAATAATTCCATGAGTCGTGTGGTTGTGACGTTATGGCAAATACAAGAGTGAGTCTTGTTTTCCATTTCCGTGTCCCGATCAATGGTATTGAGCAATGTACTGCTGTTGGATCGATCGTTTTTAGAATCACTTTGCACTTTTCTTTTTTAAATTCTCGATAAATAATAGATTGGAAATTATTTAATTAGTGATTCATAATTATCAAAATTTTATAAAAATTAAAAAAAAAATTATTAGAATATTTAACCCTTCATTACATAATTTTTTAATTATGAAAAGAAATCAAATTTTAAACTGAAAATATTTTATTTTTAATTAGCAGATAAACAAATTAATTTCAAAATTTAGATCCCCTTTTAAAATAGAAATTAATTATCAATTCAATAAATAAAAGATGCTAATTAAAAAAATTGGACTCTTTATACTTTAATACAAATCAGTAATGAACCTGTTAATTAATGTTTCTCAAACGATCGATCCAATCAATCTTTCTTTTTTTTTTTTTTTTACTTTGTTTAACGTGCTAGACTTACTCTTTACGAATTAGAAATCGTGAAATATCGTCCTATTGGTCTTTTACGCTAATTAATCATTCACTACGTGGCGTTTATCAGTGTTATTGCTGCTAAGAGTTCATTCAACAGTATCCTGCTGTCTCGCTACGGTTTATTTTTTATTCAGCTCGTCGATCCGCCTTTGTGATCCATACCATCGTCGAGGAAAACGCAAGCGTACGTATCATTTGTTTTATTTCTTTTGTTTCACTTCGAGGAAAAAAGCTTCCACTAACGATCGTACTCAAGACCTTTCGCATCGTGCAAAATCATTACCAAGAATTCGATCGGCATGCAAACCAATACTTTGTAACATTTATATTCGATCGACGACAGGAATTTATAAAATGTTACAAAATATTGATTCACGGAATGACGATTGGTTAATTGATTCATTACACGGATTAATTTTCTATCGAAAGTTACGTAGAATGGTGCTACGAATCGTCGAAGGCGCCTTGGTTTCATTTATATAATATATATGTATATAATATATATATATATGTATAGTCGTTAACAATGTTAAATTACAGGTACCTAAAAATTTCTCGCACGCGTTCCCCACGTCAGAAAAAAGTAAGAAAAGTTTCGAAATTGTTTCGTACAAGCTAGGACAGTCTACGCTAGTTCACGCTTTCAATCGTTCCCTTTTTTTTTTTTACTTTTGTGTATCATCAACTTGTTGATTAATATTTCGCTTCGTTCGTTATCTATCCGTGATTAATTATCGTGATATTACAAAGTCGAAATGGAAAAAGGTCGCTTACGAAAGAAACAAACAGACGCTGCGAGAATGTCTCTCTTCGTCGAGCAAACGCCTAAGGAAATTCCTTCGGAATATTTCACGCACATAAGCATTGTGTTTGTTTACAATGCTTCTACAGCAATTGATTCGATGTTGTTTCATTCTCGCTCTAATTTCCTGGCCTTCATGATCGAAAGAGCAATAAAGTAATTCCTTGGGATATTGTTTCTATTGTAATTTAAATAAACAATCTGCACTTATAGTATATCAAATTAAAGCTTAAAATTTATTAAAAATGACTATATAAAGCTTTCACAGATAGCATGAAATTATCTTAGAATTTTGAAGCTTTGAAAGTGGATTACTTAACACAACACTGTACGTTGCGATCCAGAATTAATCATTTTGTGTTAAGAATATCAACGGGGGATTTATATAGCCAGTTTTGTTAGACTTTAAGCTTGAAATTGATGTATCATAAGTGCTATTTTGAAATACTTTTATGTCATCAAATTGTATTGGACTTCCACGTGTTTCAAAATTGATCACTACTTGCTACAACTGGCAGCCATTCATTTTTTCTCAAGAATTTTGATGAGTCCTTTATGTAGTCACTTTTAGTAAGCTTTAAGCTTAAATTTGATGTATCATAAGTGCTATTTTGCAATACTTTTATGTCATGAAATTTTGTCAGACTGTTGATGTTTTATCCCAAGAAATTGCTTTGATATCTGATTTAGGCGAATTTAGCGTGACGACGTTCGATTGGCAAACTGGATTTCCTTTTCAGTTATCTAATTAACCCCTTGCCTTGAGTCACCCTCGATTACAATCTAAATCGTATTTGTGAAATAGTCGGATTTTAATGGAAATTTCAAATGGTACATGCGAAGTGAAAGTTTTCCAAGGAAGATTTATGTACAATATCTCTCTCTTTCTCCTTCTCTGTTTTGGCACCCGAACGATTAAATAGATAATTTTAAAGAAAGACAAGGGGGTAAGTTACGCTTGGAAGGGTTCCCTTTTCTAGATATGTAGAAGTATGCCCTACATGCTTTCATCTTCGAGCTGTTGGTTTTCATTTACCGACTAAAGGTTTATTGCTACGTTTCCACTACTATATCGAAAAGGGATTTTGGCAATTATAGTTCTGGTATAAAGTGGCTTGGCAGTGTTTAACATTGGTGAGCGTAATTAATATCTGCCAGTTTATCCGAATTCTTGGTGCTTTATGTCGTATTCGAATATCCATTTTGGAAATAATAAATTTTTCAAAAATTTATTGAAGAAAGAAATAACTTACAGCTTTTTATCTTCAATGAAAATTAATTAATTTAATAAATGTGTGTAAAAAATTTTAATATCTTTTAATAAATATTTAATAAACTTATGGATATTCGAATACACGATTTATCCGGACAATTCTAACAAATGAACAAGCATCGGTGTGAAATAACTGCATCATGCACGCGTAATACAAGCCTCGTTATAATAAACTCTATAAGAACAGTTTAGGATATCAGTCGAAGACATAATAAATGGCGAACAAGTCTTTCAAATGGTCTTTCAACGACGAATTTTAGAAGCTCAAAATGAACATTGGTTTCCATGAAATGTTACAAAACTCTCGTTCCCTTCTCGTCCTCCTATTCATTTTTATTCATTTCTTTTTTTTTTTAATTCCTTGGTCTTAAGCGCACTTGATAATTTGACACTATTTCGGAGCAAGCATTCAAATAATCGTTTGCTTCTTCAAGGATACAATTTCTCAAAACGAACACACGTTTCTTCTTTTATCTAACGTTAATATTCAGGAAATTCGTCTATGGTTAGTCTAATTAGTACGATTATCGTATCCCGTAATTCATGCATTAAAATCAGGAAACGAAATTTAACCGAATGACCTTACACGTTTCGAAAAACCGTTCATCGAATTCTGTCAGACATCTGTCTCTTATATTTTCTTACGAATATTCTTCAGCTTTTTCTGCCCGTCTCGATTGTCCGCATCGTTATAAGTTATTCATTCAGGAACGCTTTTTTATTAGTATTTCTTCATACATCTTCAGGATCAGTTCATTTCTGCAGAAACAAACCTAAAATATAAAAAAAAAAGAAAAATAGATTTATGCATAGATAAGCAGCAAATTGAAAAAGAAAATGGAATAAATCAAAATATTTCTATTGGTAAGTTGAAAACATGGACGGACGTAGCCAGCTGTTTAAAGAGCAGCAAATTAATTATCACGTTGTATAGCTTGTAGATATTGTACTCGTTGAGAAATAGAATTGCAAAGCTGGTGGTTCTATATATTGAAGGATAAAGAATGATCAGGAGAATTGAACTTGTCCCGAAGATGATCGTTTCCGCTCGAGGTGATCAGTTTTCACAGACGATTCATACATTCTCGTTTAATTTTTCATTTCTCATAAGGCGCGATCGACATTTCCCCCCCTTGGAATGCTGGGAGAAGATGTTGTCGGGGGAAAACGATCGTTCAGTTGATCCAGGCCCGCACGTTTACAGGGTTCTATAGTTCCGTGATACGTGTCGAATCTTCGGCGATCGTGCAAAATCGATGAATCCTGCTGCGAATGTCCTCGCAGAAGATCAAGACGCTCCGTAGACGCAGGCTGAGTTGTCAGGAGGACTGATCTTTTCCACTGGCAATACTGCAGCTCTGTGCCATTCGTCCCGTACCTGAAATTTTAATAAGAAAATTGTTAGATTGGGATCCTCCTCTGTTAAGTGTTGATTAGAGGCTTAGAATTAGGATGGGCACCCATTGCTAGGTGTTCAAGTTACATAGAGTGTAGGCACCCATTGCTAAGGATTCAAAGTAGATTGTTAGAGGCTTAGAATTAGGATGGGCACCCATTGCTATGGGTCCAAGTTACATAGAGTATAGGCACCCATAGCTAGGTTTTCAAAATATAAAATTTGGGTGAGTGTAAGCCTTCATTGCTGAGGATTCAATGCAGATAACTAGGGTGAGTGTAGGCACCCATTGCTAAGGATTCAAAGTAGATTGTTAGGATGAGTATAGGCACCCATTGCTAGGTTTTCAAAATATAAAATTTGGGTGAGTGTAAGCCTTCATTGCTGAGGATTCAATGTAGAAACTAAGGTGGGTATAGGCACCCATTGTTAAGGATTTAAAGTAGATTGTTAGGGTAAGTTTAAGCACCCATTGCTAGGTTTTCAAAATATAAAATTTAGATGAGTACAGACCCTCATTGCTAAGGATTCAATGTAGATAACTAGGGTGAGTATAGGCACCCATTGCTAAGGATTCAGAATATAAAATTTGGGTACGTGTAGGCACCCACTGCTAGGCATTCAGAATATAAAATTTAAGTGAGTGTAAGCCCCCATTGCTAAGTATTCAGAACACAAAATTAGGGTGAATATATCCTCCCAGTGTTAAGTATTCAAAGCCTACTAAGAACGCCTACAGCCACCCCTTTCTAATTACTCATAGCATATCAAGAGTGACTGCAGTCACCCATCGTTTTCCCTCTCTCGGTAACTGTCGGTAAAAGTCGTGCAAATTCTTTCGAAACTTTCTTCAAATTATTTAACAACCGAGCTCCAATTAACTCAGCTTGTTCCGTGTTTCAATTACGTTAAACCGAGTTCACAAAGGCGATCAGTAATTAATTGGTCCAGTATAGCTCACCTGCTCGACTTTAGCAAATACCCTCAGCAAATTGAGGCCAGCTAATTTTTTAATATCCTCCTCGGTCCATGTTGGATCCTCGAGTAGGGTGGCCAACAGTTGTGGATACCTCGAAACGTCCTCCAATCCGGTAGGAGTACTGAAAAATCGTGCATTAACAATGATAACCTGGTTCTCATTCTATTCCCGATAACATCCAGAGAATAAAAAGGAGCATAAAAAAAAATAATTCGTTTGAATCAGCTGTGACGAACGATTTGTACGATTTACACTTTCGATTAATCCCTAAGTGTACGGTTGAGACGATTGGAAACTTCATTACAACGATGAAATGGTAGTCGATCGAGGCAAGCATCGATAATGATTATTCTCTGAATGCGAACGATGTACCGTGGACATTCGAAAGATAATTACAAATTTATCCCGTCGAATCCAGCTCCTATTCCAACGTGATCGATCCCGGCCACCTTTCGAATGTGATTGATGTGTGCTGAAACAGCATGGTCACTTAATAAACTCGTTCGTGCGGTGCGGGTTTAAATGTTGATTTTATTATATCCAAACAGCGTCGCGTTACCGTTTTTCGCTGTGAATAAAATAACGTCCCTCTGTACGTGTATGCACGTGTTTAATTAGGTCGAGGCGTTAATTGATGACGATCGAATAAAATGAAAGAAACGAAATCGTTACGTTCGAATATCCCAATGCGCGTGTTTTATAAGTATCAGAGAGAAAATAATATTTCAACGAAAAAAGAATATTTTATTTTATTCGTTTAAGAATTATATATCGGTATTTTGCATTTTAGATTAATCCGCGTATCGCGAACGAAATCGATTCTTTCCTATCGCTTTATAAATATTCATTTGGATAATTGTAAGTTTTTAGGCAATCGTGGCGTAATTAATTAATTCCGTATCGTTATTAACGTAAACAGGGAGGGGTAATTAATCAGATACCTTTTCATGAATAATTTGTTTTCGTCGAACGATCGATTTCCAAATGGACGTTCGTTTTTTGATAAAGAAAATTTTAATATCACGAACGGAACGATCACAGTTTATTTTATTTATTTCTCTTTTTCACGCTGCAATAATTAAGTAATTCTTGTTTAATCTTACGTACCAATGACGTCTTTTATGGTGGCCGTGCTGTTGCACGTTATGAAGTATGTATAAAATGGAACCATCGCCACTCCGCCGTTTTTAGCCTGCGAACAGATGCATTAACTTCAGATACCGATCCTGAAGGTTGTGTACCAGTGAAATGTTAGTCGCGGGAAGAAAAGCAATTGTAAAATTGTGTCGAGCTGAATAAAGCGGGTATTTCATTTCCTGGGATTGTATGGACCCATTGAATTTGCGCTTTCCATTGTGCTTTCAAAAAAAAAAAAAATTCTTCTTGTTGCTGGCTTTTTGCAGAGGTCGCTTCGAAAATTATGAGGAGAAACTTGGCTGGTAAAAGTTCATGAGAATCATGAAAAGGGGACAAATTGTTTCAAGGATGGAGAAAAATTTTTCTTACTGCGGATGGGGAAGTTAATTTCTTTTTATAAGAATATAAATATACGCTGACGTATACAGTTGTTCACCCCTGTACGATGATTGACCCTTTTCCTAAAAGAGTAAGAAAATATCGGACCGCGGACCAGGGAGAGAGCCCCAAGAAGGGTGACCATGGAAAGAAAATTAATTATCCTTCGTATCGCAAATATTTCTTGTTCGAAAGAGAATTGTAAAAAAATGTATTATATTAAATTCTTTTCATATTTTCAGAAAAGGGGTCAATTATTATACAGGGATCAATAACCATGTATTCTTTTTTTTCCAAGTTACTGGAAATTGTGAAAGAAAATCCTGTTCTTGCTACTTCGTTCGTCAGACAAATTTGTATGTATAATTTCGTAATTCGTTGTAAACACTTGCTGTTACGTTTACGAGAATAATTCTTGCAAGTTCAGATAATTTGAATACCAAATTCACATGGAAAATGTATATTCTGTTGGGAACGGTTTCGCAGGGCTAATGATTTATGGTTGGTCTTTACTTTCGTATTAAAATCGTTCTTCAAGATCCCAGATAATTTGTACAACAATCTAGCACGAAGAATTTATAAAATTCGACAAAAGAAATTGTAATTATTAAATTAATCGAAAATTATTTCAATTATTCTGTGCAGAAGATAATATTTACATAATTTTAACACTAATAATTAAGCAATTTTAATTTAAATTTGATAAAAAATGGCAAATTTGAAAACATCAGGTCTCTTTTTAAAATTTAGGAAAATATAATATTTCAAGTGCCATAAGTGAGGGGAGCAGATTGAAATTTTAAGGGAGGAGGTGATCCAAACTACAGCGACCCTCATAACTTTTCAGAAAGGTTGGAAAGAAAATTTGCAATTTCAAGATATATGCAAGTGGAAGACGTACATTGAAATTCGATGAGCGAGCCTCTTGCTCAAAGCAACCGCGCATTCGTAGCATTCCATATTGATTTTGTCTAGAGCCGTTTTTCAAAAGACAAGCGGAAGCGACTACGGATGCCATTAGAATCATCTGTTCCCACTCGCTTTTATGTTTATGCCAGCCTTATGGCTGGTAAAGGGGTCAGTTGAAGTTCCTCCTCGTTTCATTTTCCTCCTGCACGCGTTTCATGCACCGCTTTCGAGTTTATGATTCTGTTCGTTCGTTGAAATTCCTTATCTCCTGCCAAACGTCATCGTACTTTTATTACCTGTTTACTCTTATCAATCGTGGATAAATGAAAAGAAAAATAATTTGGAAAAAAAAAATCGCTCGTACCTATTCTTCTTAAAGTATTCGCCAATAAAATTCGAAGAAATCGTAAAGTTAGTCTGTGGGAATGCAATTTCACTGGAACGGTACCGGTTCTGCATTGAAATTTTAATATCTTCAACTACTATAAATCATGTTTTTCGCTAGCTAGGATTTTCAAACGATTGATTCAGAATTCCATGAAACATTCATTGTCCACGATATCCGGTCGAGATCCCACTGAAAAATTGTACCCCTTGTTCCGTCCATGCAATTGCAAATTTAAATTGAACACCTGGTTGGATTAAATTATTCTGAGTAACATTAATAATTGGTCAACGTTCCCAGGGAACAAATTTTTGTCATTTTATTTCTATTAAAATTTCATAACTATCAGATAATTTTGATCCAGAATGGTGGGTTGAAATTGATGTAGTTTTAATTCATTCGTTATAATAAATTGTTTTAAGTTCTTCTATAAAATACAATTGATCTTGCCCGATCGATCAGCGCCAAAATCTGGATAAAGATCTAAACGATCCATAGGGTAGTAGACGATCTTTATCTTTCCTAGTTGGTTCCGAATGATCGGAGCCAATGCTCAGTGTGTACCCAGTCTTATCAGATTTATCTCTGTCTTCGATCGAAAATTACTGAATGCGCCAATCGGGGAGAGACAATGCTCGTCTGTCTAGTCGATACCTGAGCCGACTTAAACTACGAGGTAGCCAACGTTAATTGGGGCAGCAGTGTGGCACAGCTAATAACATGTTACCAGACAGCCCCATCGTTCGGCCTCTGATTGGTGTAACTCATCCCCTTGTAGCATCCTCGTGATCAAGTTGGTATTGATTGTGACGATGAGGCAAACACGAAATTCTTCGTTTCACCTGGCCCTTTAAACGGCCCTTTGGATAATTAGTATTATCGATAAAGTGGTGATCAATATTGATCGATCAGGTATCGGTGTAATTGGGGTGATTTTGGGGGGTGAGAATCTTAAAATTGTAGAATTTTAGGATGTTAGAGTATTCGGGTATTCGAGTACTAAAATATTAGGACATTAGGATATTAAAATATTAGAATATTAGGGTATTCGAGTTTTAGAATATTAGAATACTTGGGTATTCGAGTATTAGAATATTAGGATGTTGGAATATTAGAACTTTAGGATATTAGAATATTAGAACTTTAGGATATTAGAATATTAGAATACTAAAATATTAGGATACTAAAATATTAGAATACTAAAATATTAGGGTACTAAAATATTAGGATACTAAAATATTAGAATACCTACTAGAATATTATGATGATATTAGAGTATTAGAATACTAAAATATTATGATACTAAAATATTAGAATACTAAAATATTAGAATACCTACTAGAATATTATGATAATACCAGAATACTGGAATATTAGAATATTAGAATACTAGACCAATCCCCATTTTTTGAGACTCCAAGCCCATTTTACCCCCTACCTAGTTACACCAACCCACCCCTTAAAAACACTGTAACACAACCCGAGTGTCATTCAGAAAAATCAATCCGACATCTCCCCAATACATTATCAAATGAAATTTTAAGGCTGTTCTCAGCATTGTCCTCGGCATCGAGTTTAATCCCATAGATTAATTGGAAGCATCGTCGGAGAGTAATTGTCATTTGGTCGTCAGTGATTGGCAGGCGGAGGGTCTGGATAGGATTAAATTTTAATCGAGCCTCGCACGCCAGGATTAACCACTTAGTTTATCCGGTGTTATGTCGTTGATTCGACGCCGGTTACGAATCGAATAGTTGTGTAAGCTTCGTCCCATCGGGACCACTGAATCCTCTTCGCCCGGTGAAGTTGGATCCGCACTTTCTTCCTTGATTTATTCTTCGTCCAGATTTTTTTTCTACCCTCTCCACCGTTGGAATATTACTGGCTCGTGGGAGGAAAGTTGAACTCGTCTGTGGCTCGTAAATATTTCGATAATTGTTTCTACCCGGGTGTTTATAGTAGACGGCGAGCGTTTTAAAACAGATTGTACGTTCTCATTGGTCGGTCGACCTGTGTCGGATAAATCATGCAGTCTCCCCTATTGCGATCCCAATTTAATCCTACAGAATTCTCTGCAGAACTATTTTTTGCTAGCCTCATTGACCCAGCTCGTATATTATTTTATACAACCCGTGTTCTGTATCCCCAGTGACTTCTCTTTTTTTTCCCCTCCCCTGCCATTATTCCCGGTGAAAATTCCACGCCGCGTTGAACACGTACTTTTTGCCCGGAAAATGTATATCTGTTAGTCGAACTCGTTTCGAATTTTTCCCGTTTCTCAGCCGCCTGATACCCTTGCCTCGATCGCCCCTGTATACTTTGTACGATTCATTCCTATTCGCTGGATCGTTCCATTGAATATTTTAATTTTGAATAAGAAAAGGATTCTGATCGAATTCGAAGGTTCGTGTTGTAGTCTAGATATAATAATTGAAGTTAACGCCCCTATTCTACCCACTTCCAGTTCACCCCTGGGCAGAGTGTTCTGATCGGAATTCCATTTTTCAAGGGTTAATTTTATAAATTTTGCTTTCCCTGAGAATTTCTGAACAGTTGAGTGAACGATGATGTATCTATGGAAAATCTTCTCCTCTGTCGTTTTACAATTTCCATATTCGCTTGGTACACCTTGTCGGACATCCTAGGACATCATATGCAGCCGTAGTCAAAGGACAGTGTACATTTTGCAGATATGAGATTTCATATTCAAATATATACGAAGAAATGCATCTGTTTATATGTGCACGTGTAATGAAAGATTTATTGCCAGAGATGTTTCTGTGTATTTTACGTCTTTTCCCTTGAAGCCTGAGTTTTCTTTTTTTTTAATAAATTAAACAGTTGGGCAGAATTTTAATTACGGAATGAATTTAGAATTCGTATTAATTCTTGAACAGCGGAGCCTGGGTCAATCGTGGAACAGAATCATAAAATATGTACAAGGATATTAAAATCGGATCTCTCTCCATGGTCCGTCATCCGATGGTTAAATATATATTAATTAGATATGACAGGGATGGAGGGATGGAAGGGAAGCAGGGATGTAAAGAATGCAGTGATGTAAGGGTTGCAGGCATGTAAGGAAAGCAGGTATGTAAAGAATAGAGAAGGACCTAGGAGGGGCGGGTGCCAACATAGATTGCGCGGCCCTGCAAATTAGAAGCGGAGCCGCAGGGCCGCAGGTGGCCGGGGCTGGGGCCTTTTTTAATTAGATCCGTTTCTCTTACAGTAATTAACATAAATAAATAACATAAAATATGTCTAACAAGTGAAGGATATTAAACGCGCTACTCTTTCTACACGAATATTTTTACACCCTGTAGTTCAATACGATTTATATTGTTACAATTTAAGTACCATATTGTAGGCAAAAACTTTCCAAAATTTCATTAGAATATTTCCAATAGAACCGAAGTTACAGAATTTTGATCGCCGAAAGCCGTTTTGTTCCACTGTATCTCTAACCCTAGTAGTTTTCAAGTTGAAAAATGACACAGATGGACGTCTTTTTATAAAATTTTCAATCTCTATTGTATACTGTTTCACATTAGCGCCGGTATTTATAACATAAGCTTAATAATGAAATTCATCAATCGCATTAATTTTCGATACATTCTGTGTCTATTTATATTAAATTTGTTATTTGTTATCGAACGAAATGGAGTCTCGGCGTGTTGTTCCGTGAAAGGATTAAAGTTAATGCTATTCTAGTAACGTTCGATGCAACGGGCAGAGAAGTGCAAGTAAAACGTTAAAATTTATCGAGCGACCCAAAAAGGGATGTTGCTGGCCACTGGGTTAAGCATGGATTACATCATAAATGTTCGCTAACAATTTTATCTGCTCGAGTGTTTACCTTCAAAGTGATGTATTTTCTCTCCCCTTTTTAGCTGTGAGGGCCGTCATTTTCGCTGAATTAACAACGTTGTTGTAAAACCCTTTACAACGACGAAATTGGGGAGGAAACATGTTCGACGGGGAAATTTCAACTATTTATGGAAATATTTTATCGTCAAGGAATATTCACTGATTTCTTAATAAAAAATTAATAAATTTGAATGGTTTTTTCCTAATTTATAGGAAAGAATATTTTGTTAACAAAATTCAGTATTAAAATGAAATTATTTAAATTTTGTCCGTATCAGAGTTCTCGTATTTTGTATATTATTGGAATTTCAAGTAGAAAAGGTTGAAACTCAATAAGAAGCTACGCGGTTGCATAGCAGAGATTCATAGAAACGGAAGTGCATAACATTCGTCTGATCGAACATTGGAATCGGTTTAACCATCCCATGCTATCCTATCGCATTTCCATACTACTAAGTTTTCCGTGTCGATGCGGTTGCACTGAAACTCACCAGATTTCTAAGCACGTCGTCTGGCACGTTTCTAGTGGAATTGCAGAGTGCCCTGGCAGCACTGTGAGAGAAAATCACCGGTGCCCTCGTCGTCTGCAGGGCCGCCCTCATTGTTCTTGTTGAGACATGAGAAAGATCCACTAACATTCCCAGTCTGTTTAGCTCCCTGACAACTGCCTAAAAAATAATTAAACAAATTTCTTTTTAATAAAAAATTACAAATTTAATAATAGAATTATATATTTTGATTTCAAATAAATTCTATTTGTTACAAGATTAATGGCGATAAAGAGAAAGCAGGGATTCTCATAATCCTAATTTTGATAATATTAATATAAATTAATATAAATTTTAATTACTAATAATATAAAATTTATAAATTTATTTAATAATTCAATCTGCTACGTTAAAATTTATAAAACATCAATCTGTGCTTGTTTATTCTTCCGAATAATTCTCTCGTTAAATTCTCAATAACAGAGCAACCCTTTCCTGCCAAACATCACCCTCCATTGATATAAATAATACCAATTGATATTAATTAAATTATCACGTCCTATAGGCATCACTGAATCATTTCCAGAACGCATCGCTGTCTAATTAAATTCGATACTACCCCTCGAGGAATATGAAATCGTTAAACGATAAATAATAATTGACCACCTGATTGAAGAAGAATTATACCCCGTTCGATTCCTCGTATCCGATTGAACAGCCGTGTAATTTTGCGAATCCGGTTAGAATGCAAATTTTGCTACCAGCTACCAATGCCAAAGAGATTACGTGATTTTGTAGTTTGCATCAGCATTACCAATCTGCAACTTTATTCGCTACTCAAATTTCGTTTTAGCAGCCTCGTGTGCGACCATGTTTCGTATTCGCTGCTGGCATGGACATTATAGAAATTAACGGGCATAACGGATGGTCGTGTATTCTGTCCAAGTCCAGTCGTATATATACGTTGTTTAATTAATAGAACAAACAGAACAACGTTCTGCAACTCTGCATTGTTATCCGTTTCCCTTTTTTTTTTGTCGCTTTCCCTCAGTGGTTGCTGTTCGTTTTATGCAATGCAATTAGAGTTTCCTCTTAGCGAATTAGATTTTATTGCTTGCTGATAGTAAATTAAATTTTTAATTCGATAATTTAACAATGTTCATTTTCTTCATTGTACTTTTTTGGAGGTAATAGTGAATGCTAAATAATTGACATATATTTGACAATTCTTATTGTCAGTTGCATGAATTGCAGTCAGAATCAAAATTAAAATTTCACTGGCATACAAGTTGGACTGTAATGAGAATCTGACTGTACGTTACAAAGCAAGGGGTTTATTACAATGTGCTATATTAGACACGCTTGTTTGCACAGTGCTATACAATGTGTTAATGAAAAGGGTATAGTGCTCTTATTTATGAAGCTAATTAATGTAACACCTATGAATGGAGAACTTGCAGAGGTATAATTATTCGAGATTCTTTGAATATAAATTAAAGTGCTTTTTATATAAGCAATACAAAAATTAGAAAAAGGAAATAATAATTTTAATATTATTCCATTTCTAATTTCCTATTTACTTCCCCGCCATCATTTTACCTTGGCCATTAATAATTTGAATATTATTCCATTTCGAATTTCCTATTTACTCCCCCACCATTTTATCTTGGCCATTTCCCATTTCTCATTTTCCATTTTCAATTTACAATTATCAATTTAAACACATACAAATATTTGTTTAATTAATTTATCCTAAATACATATCAAATCCAATAATTATTCCCTCATATTCTTCTCGAATCGTTTTCATACCCGCGACTGAAATAATGCTACATTTTTAATCCAAAAGTTTCGCTGCTTCGAAACCGCAGCTAAATTGAATTTGAAACTCCACCGTGCAATTAATCCACTGTTATTGCCGTGTACCGTTTCGCGGGATTTTTCATACATACCGAAATTGTACGAAATCCAGCATTTTCGGAAGTTGAACAGGAAACGAAAGTAAGTTTGCCAATGCGTTATCTAAGAACTGCTGCGTTTGAACATTTTTCGACGGTATAAATTGCGGGGTACACGGAACGCGGAAAGTTTTATGGGAGTTGTTCTCGGTTTTAAATGAACCCATTATTTCGTGCGTTTGTTCGCTCGGGGGGCGGAAGAAATTATTATACGAGTGAATATCTCTTCGAGTTATTATTAGACATTCGATGTCTCGAAATAAAACGACAATAAATAAAAGAATATCCTTTGAAATCAAATGTTCAATACCATTGATCGGTCGCTGTGTGCCGCGACGTTCAAACATCGGTGACTTCGCACGCGATATCGAGTGAATGATTAACCGAACGCGTTAATTACCTATTTGCATCTATTTCGAATTTTTAATTTTCGAAAATTTTCGAAAAATAAAGAGGTAAGAGGAGATTTAATTATAAGTAATTCGAAAATTTTCGAAAATTAAAAATTCGAAATAGATGCAAATAGGTAATTAACGCGTTCGGTTAATCACTCACTCGATATCGCGTGCGAAGTCACCGATGTTTGAACGTCGCGGCGCACAGCGACCGACCAATCATATTGAAATTACTTATAATTAAGTCGCCTCTTATCATATTTTTATGATTTATAAATCGCGTGACCGGTGGCAAGGGAGTAGCGTTTAAAAGGAACATTGTTAACGTCCCCGGCGCTGTCAGGGCCGTGCAATTTCGTGCAATTACAAGACGTGCCACTTGGAGATAATTACTGTGAAACGCCGGAAGGGTTGGCTAGGTACGTGTGCATGGACTTACGAGATACCCTTAATTCGGCCCGCGATTTCGCCGGGCGTTGATTAAGAAAGATGATCGTAGTAACGCGAGATACTGGGTCGAGGTATTACAGTGGAGTAGGATCAGTATGAAAGAGACGAGGGGGTAAGGGAGTGGAATCGAAGATTCAGCTAGCAGAGAAAAACGATGGCGTGTGAGAGGAGTGAAAAATAGAGAACGGAAGGAAGAAAACGTTGGCATTTCGGTTAGTGAACATTAGTCGATGGCGTAAGCAAGCCACCCCTTCTATTACGCGAAAATAGAAGAGGGAAAAAGCTGTGCGATGTGCATAGACCCGGGATGCCGATACGACCGAACCACGGAAAAAGGAAGGAACACAATGGGCATCGTCCTTTTTATGCAGGCATAACCATGCTTTAACGAGAACCCAGTGATGCTCGGCTCTTGCTTTTTTTTCTTTTCTCTCTCGGCACGCGCGATTTCATACCGCCAAACGGGGACAAGGTGTTCACCTTCGACAATTATGTGACTGATCATTATCCGTAGGAAAAGAAAATTCATTTTTACGCTGACCTAATTAAGGGTATTCTCAGTTTTAGTGAAGATTCATGAGAATTTATTTATTTTCGGAGGGGAACGTTATTCAGTTGGTACCATTAACATGAAAAAGAAAATTACTGATTTATTTCTATTATTAGATATTGAATATTAGAAAATTTCTTAGTTTGAAAAAATGTGTACCATTATCTAAAAATATGACAATTTTCCCCATTTCCTATTTTCTATTTTCTCACTTCTGATTTCCATCCCTTCACTCCCATTTTCTATTTTCCCATTTTCCCACTTCTGGTTTCCATCTCTTTACCTCCATTTTCTATTTTCCATTTCCTCGCTTTCAATTTTCATCCCTCCACTCCCATTTTCCATTTTCCCACTTCCAGTTTCCATCTCTCTACCCCCATTTTCTATTTTCCATTACCCCGCTTCCAATTTTCCATTTCCTCTTCAAATTTCCAATTTTCAATTTAGTCATCGTTTTCCTTACACATCTACTACAATTTTCCATCTCACCGAATAGTGTAAATTCAACAGTCAAGCGGAACGACAGAAAAATAAAATTCTGTCCGATTTCTATACGATTTATTCGAATCGAACGTCTCTGTCGATGCTTACGTAATGTCATACACCGCTATTGAGAGCCACTCGAATTCAATATCGAGAGACGGAAAACAAACGCGAGGAAAATCCCCTTTCAGGGACTCGGGTTACATCACTGAAATTATTTTCAGTCCGTATCGAAACAGCTAGATAAAAGCGAAACGGAGATGAAAAAGAGAAACGACAACTGGAATAAGTTTGAAATCCTCAGATTAGTGGAATTTTCAAGTAAATCGTCTGGCAGCGTTGTTCTACCCGGCTGCAATAACGATTTTATACCGACGTTGTTTCGATATACACTATCGCTCAAAAGTTATTCGATTGTTGCGGAGGAAATTGCCGATTTATTCGGGAAACTTTTATTATCAAACATTTTTTACGTTCCTAAATTGGGTACTTGATACAGGACAATGACACTGTTTGTTGCGATCTACAACCAATCATCTGGTATCAACAATATCAACGAAACGTTAATACAGTAATTTTTGTTAGACTTTAAGCTTGAAATTGATGTATCACAAGTACCATTTTGAAATAATTTTATAGTATAAGTAGATAGTCATTTTCAGTAAATTTTAAGCTTTAATTTGATATATCATAAGTGCTATTTTGCAATATTTTTATGTCATGAAATTAAACATTTTTATAGTAACCTCATCATTTTTTATTGCATAGGTCTAATATTTAAATTGATCGAATTTTATAAAAATTCTCATTAATTATAATCTTAAAATTACCAAAAACTAATTTACAATAATAGTGTAACCACAATTGTTGATAGTGAATTAAAATTGATTAGAATTATTTATTGATTTCTATTGCATACACCAAATACTGACGCACGAGTGTAATTTTCAAATTACCTGTACAACGTTGCATTAAATTCTCAATTGGTGATAAGAAAATTGCTATTACATCCGGCTGATACTTTTGAGCAATAGTGTAGTCGACAGTGCGCTTGAACAATCGAGCGATGTCTGGCAATGTGGCTTGGTGCTTTCACACAAACACAATGCATCTCCGGGGTTGGCGGGGTCCTGGTGTATGTAAATGAGAGTGGAAAGAGAAAGAATGCCGTGAAACAAAGAGGAAACGAAGAGAAAGGGGTGCAACATCCAGAGAAACTGCATGGGAACTCGAAAGGGAAAGATTAGAGTAGAGGAGAGAAGGGTTTGGGGAAGATAACAGAGATGGCTTATTTGATTTACGTTCCCTCGTTTTGCGTCCCTTCTTTCTCTCGTTCGATCGTTTCTTTCCTTTTTATTTTCTATTTTTTTTTATCGCGCGACAGGAACCACCACCACGCGACTACAAATTTCGCAGGATCGATAAAAAAAAAAGAAAAAATAAAACGTTGCATCCCTTTCTCGTCGCTGTACACAAAAAGATTCGACGATGTTTGCTTTTTTTTTCTATCTTTTCTTTTATCGCCGGTATATCCGCGCAGCGAATGCCAGAAATTCGGCCGAAAAATTCGTCGATTTTGCTCGAACGCCTGAAACTTAGCCACGGAAAATTTCTGTCCCGAAACTGGGTCATCCTCGTTACTTCGCGAAGAATGAAGAAGCGACGTGGAAGTGGAGCATACGATGTCATTGAATAGTTTTCATTGATTATTATTCCTTCTACATTCGTAAGTGGAGGATTTATAGTAGGGATAACAATGATCATTTATAGATCACTAGGGCAGTGAATATTAAAATTAAGGAAAATTAAGGGAAAAGGCTTTGAATTTTCCACGGAATTTAAAATGGAAATGAGTGCACGTTGGATTAATGGTAATATGTAATTAGTGCACTATGGATGCTTTTATAGGGAAAGGGTTAAGTGTAACAAATAAGGGTGACGTTTAACTCACCTTGCCGAATTCGCTAAGACCTGGCGTCGAATCCTGGGTACTGTTCGTCTCGCCAACTGAACAGACTGCCCTGCCAAGAAAATGTCTGTTAGAACTCCTTTCTTCTGGAAAAACCGCCGGAAAATTTAATAATTTTCCTACATGAACATCGCAGATTTTTCTTAAATTATAAGAAACGCAAAGTTGCAAATTCCCAATATTACTAAATTTTATATTAACCCATTTGCTACCACTAGGCAATAGGATTATATTAAATAAAATGTTAAATAAAAATATCAAAAATAAAAATTTGGCAATTAAGTTAAATAAATTTCTAAAATTAGATTATTATTACTTATCGTGTAAATTCAAAAATATATTTTTTTTAAACTAAAATTAACAAAATTATGCAATGAAGGGTTAATAAATTTTGAAAAATACAATGTTGCCCGAAACGTGGTTTAAAAATCATAATTTCAACGCTGTTCATCTAAAATTGAAAAAAAGATTAATACCCCTTTGTCCAACATTGATCTATTTGTTTCTCCCAATGGAAAATGAAATTGGTTCGAGGGAAGGAATTCGAGGACGATCGCTTTAAAATGGGGAAATAATTTGTCAGGCCGAGAAGCAATTCCTGACCTTTAGAAACTGTCCAGGAAGGTGGTCACGGTTCGCAAGGTGGAAGGTCGTCGAGAGCTTCGTGGAAAGTCGAGCCGCGAAGCCGTAGAAAATTTAATCCGACCGTCGAAAGCCGGTAATCTTTCTTCTCCGCTCGATTCCCGTCTCGACGCCTTCGTCGCGGCGAACGTTTTCCACGGGAAAACGTTAGGAAAGGTCGACAGCTCGTCGTCATCGAGAATTGCGGAAAATCCAATCGTCTCGACAATTCCCACGGGAAAAAACCGACGGAAGACAAAGGAGGCGGGAAGAAAAGATGGTGGTACAGGAAAGGGAAGATTGGGGGATTGACGTTAGGCCTACAGAAACACTCTCCTCAAAGAGATTCGGACATTGTCAGTTGAAAGAGGCTTTTTATGATGATTGCCAGAAAATAGAACTCGATTTTTCCTCTTCTATTCTTATAATACCTCGTTCAAATTCATTCTTATATTATTTAAAAAATTGGATTCAATTAAAAATAAGAATTTATGAAAATAAATTATTTTCAAATAAGATTTTTTTCTTGCAATACTGTGTAATACTTCTTCTTATATTTGGCACTTTTCATTTGAAATGAAAATAACAAATAAGTTCGTTTAAAAATAATAAATTTGAAAAATAAACTATTTCCAAATGAGTCTTATTTTTTGCAATACTGTGTATTTTCTATTATTTAAATATCTTCTTATACTTAATACTTTTCAGTTGAAATGAAAATAACAAATAAAATCATTTAAAAATAATAAATTTGAAAAATAAATTATTTCCAAATGAGTCTTATTTTTTGCAATACTGTGTATTTTCTATTATTTAAATATCTTCTTATACTTAATACTTTTCAGTTGAAATGAAAATAACAAATAAAATCATTTAAAAATAATAAATTTGAAAAATAAATTATTCCCGAATGAGACTTTTTCTTGAAAATATTTCCTCTGTTTAAGTATTCTTCTCTGGTAGTTGGGATTAGGTGACTCGTTGAGAAAGAGGAAGAGATTTGTTGAAGAACAAGGTGACTCAAGTTGTTATGTACAGTAGGAAAGTCGGTGTCGAGGGACATATAAAGTAGGCAGGGATTGAAAAGCAGGCCAATTCCAGTAGACGGCCATTGTCGTGTAATACGACAGTTTCGACTCGAACTGTTAGCTACAGTCAACGATAGCAACCGTGTCGTACTTTACTTTGAACAGATACTGTCATCTCTCGTGAAACTTTAGGGTTACATGCATGTCACTGGTCAAAAGTACGATGCCATTTCCCTAGGAACATGTCAAGTGACATTTTTAAATATCTAATGTAAAGTGCATGGAAATGTTCAATTTCTATTCTACTATCAAATTGTAATGCTACATATTGAAATAGTTATTTTCGAGAATTTTCAAATTCAATTTTCTCTAAAACGAAGCCAAATTCGAACAAATTTGATTCTACATTTTTGGCTCATTCTTTTTCAATAAAATCACTTCCATCGGTATTGAGACATCCTGTAGAGTAATTGAAAAGGAAACCACAGAAACTTGCTTCATACAGCAGGAGCATGCCGAAGGAAATTCTGATAGAGGATCAGCTTTTCCTAGAAGATACCGGTTATCGGAATCGTAAAAGGATCTTTTGATTCTTTGAGCCACCTCTTAGCCACCTTCCTAGATTTGAAAGAATTTCTACAGGAATTTTGATTTTTACAACGCTCGTACGCTTTCGTCCCGAAAATTGATTGCAATACTTATCGATCAGTAGACTATACAAAATATTGGATTTTTAAAGGCTTTTAAAAAATGCAATTTCGAAAGTTCAGAAGATAATCGCGTGAATCGATTAAACTAAGATCCTCTGCGTTTGATTGATCTTTAAACTTGTACAGGAAGCCATTAATGTAATTACAAATGCTATCGTTAATTGCAGCCACTTCAAGGGATAGAAAAATCTGAATATCATTAAATTAATTGATTTCAGATAGGGTAACGTATATATTTTTTAACCCTTTTCCTAAAATAGTAAGAAATATAATATACCCTCGGACGGCGGACCAGGGAGAAAGCCATAATTTTAATTTAATTCTGTACTTTATATTATTTTCATTTTCTAAATTTTGCACTGTTTCTTTAAAAGTTATTCCTCCAATACATTTAACTTTAGGTAAAATATAATTATTTTTCGTTCTAATACTTTTTGTACTTATATTTTCTATTATTGGAGTCATTAACTGTATACATTACCCTACTTGATAATTAATTTTGATTAATTTAAAATATATCGTAAATTTCTCGACGATCGCGTTTGAAATTTCGTCGAACAACGAAAGAGGTCAATTTTAATCCACAAAAGTGAAGAATGTATTTGCTCGCGTGTATAAAGTAACAGGGTCGTTGGCTAGAAGAAAAGTTTCCCTTGTTCCCTTTGGAAACAAAGTTCTTTGGCCGTTCATTTCTTCGGATGTGAGACGTAAGTGTAGAGTTTTGGCAGGGCCACTGAGATCGCCGAGACGGAGAAAATTTCAGTTCGCCAACGTTTTAGATTGCTTCGAGCTCTTTTAGTCTGATCGGCCGTGGGATAGCTTTTTCTTCGACGATGGATCACGGTACAAAGCAGGACGAACGATCCAGTAAAAAGCACTCTTACTGGCCCTCGTGGAACAGCGAAACGGGGCAAGTTTCGTTTGCCGATTAATTGAAATGGAAAATGTTCCTTCGCCGGTCGAATGTTTTATACGAAATCAGGCTAATGTCTGAATTTAGGTTTGTTCGAAAGTTTCTTTGCTCTTTCAAGATAAAGAATCTTTTTCCCTTCTTTTCTACCCTCTTCTTTCTTCTATTTATAGTTTTTCTGTATTGTGTTCCATACAATGGCACTTTCATGGAGGCTTAAATGGCAACGTCAAGTCGAAGATTATAAAATGTAAAATTCATGACAGAAAAGTATCACGAAATTTCACTTGAGGTACACCAATTTAAAGCTTAAAGATTGATAAAAATTAATACATAAAGGTAATTGCAATATTGTTAATACAGAATGGATGGTTTTATGTTGAAAGAAACAATGGGTCAACCAGTTTAGAATCAATATTAGTTTGTTTGCATTAGAAATACTAATGAAATATTTATTTAATTTTCTTTGTTGAATGTTTAGCTTTAATTTGATATGCTATAGGTGTTATTTAATAATATTTTTATGTCATGAAATTGCATCAGACTTTCTACGTTTCGAAATCCCTGATTTGATATGCAACAATCTAATAATTCAATTATTAATTAATTCAATTATGTACAGCTTTTGAATTCGACCGAAATATCAATGCAATAGTAAATGCTATTTTGCTGGATAATTAATGAATCGATGAACAGCTGATTAAAAATGCTTGGCCTTCTATGCCATTAACCAATATTAAGTCTAGTGAATTTGTAAAATAGTTCAATTGACCCTTTATTTTCTATTACATGAAACAACTGTTTCAAATTTATTTACTGGTATTGATTTATGTATCATGTTCGTGACTTTTGTTTCAATAAATCTGGTACAGAAGTAGTTTTATTTGCCAAAATTTCACTTTGAATTTAAAATATTATCTCACTTTGAAATTTTGTCACATTTCATGTTTTGAAATATTTTTACAGCAAATTGAATACCGAAATCAAGTTCCAATAGCAAAGTACGATATATCCCACGAGTGTATATATTATTTGCAACTTTTCTCATATTTTTTGAATGTGGTATGGAATGTACTCACCAGGAGGTATCGCAGGCATGTGTCAAGGTAAGGTATCTCGCGCCCAGGCCGTAAAATGTCCTGAGAACACCCAAGGAATTCCCTAGGGAGTGACCACCTTCAACCCCGATAAGACTTGCGATTTTGCCTTCTCTATGCGCCTCGATAAGACCTGAGACCACGAAGAAAAATGCCTTCAACTTTCAACTTTTCAATCTTAAATAAAACAATACTAATTATACTACGGTATACCATAAATTAATGAACCATTAGAGGGTCGGAAAGTTTAAATTTTCAATGGAGAATTCAATCCTCAAAGCGCGGACCACGGAGAGAGCCCCAATTTTAACTCAATTTCGTATTTCACGTTATTTCCATTTCCTCTTTACCTTTCTCATCATGTACCATTGTGATTCATGTCCCAAGGGTACAAAGTAAAGGGATTTTATCATTTGTTTTCTCAAACATAGAAAATTCGGGTTACAGGAGAGGGTTAACCGTCGTTTCCTGCACGAATCACCCTTTCCTTCGACGACCTCGATTCGGTTTCCCACTTGGCGGAGTTTCTCGAGCTTATGAAAATGGCTGACAGCTTTCTGGAGCGGGTTACTAGTCGTGAGAAGTTTTACAACAAGCCGTTTGCTATACTTTCCACTGCTCTTGCTCGACTCCTCTAGGTCGCCGCACTTACTCCCATGTATTTCCTCTCATTTTTCTGCAACGACGTGTGGATAACGCGATCTTTGCTTCACGTTTCTTGCATCTCGAGTATGTGTTGAAATTCGAGACGTATGTTTGTACATGATTATCCATATCCCCTGCCTTTTTGTAAGTAAAAGAAGAATCATTTTGAGATCATCGACCCTTATACCTTTGTCGCAATTTTATTTTATCAATGAGGGAGAGCTTTCTAAATATATATGATATAAATTTGCATTGTCTCTTTTAACGCAAACTTTCATATTTGAAAATGTTTTGAAAGATCGTTCGTTCTATTTAATTTCATGTTTCTTTTGCATCGAGAAAGTCGAGCTCATAGAGAATTCATGTAAGCGCATACAGAGGGTGAAAAAACAAGTGAAAAGTCCTTTTTCTCCTGACTTCCTTTCGCGACCTCGATTCGGTTCCCTAGTTGCCAGAGTTTCTTGAGCTTATGAAAATGGCTGACAGTCCTGCGACACGGGTTACTTGTCGCCAAAACTTTTACAACTTTCCGTACCGGTTATAGACTCCTTCGTTTCAGTTTCCACCCTTGTCTCTCTCTCGCTTTTTCCATTGGAAAATTGTCCAACTTTTGTTGCTGGAATAATCTCGTGTTTGTGAAAATCCAGAGTCGGATTAACACTTCCTCTATTGCTATTTCTAAAAAGAACCTTTTTAAAAAAAAATTTTAACACTGAATATTAATTATTTTCACAAAGTTTTAATATAACTCCTTTGGGTTCTCTTATTTAAATACAGTAAATTATTAATAATTTATTATTCTTGAATGAAAAGCAAAGGTAAAAGGTTGACTTGTTCTCCTTTTTTTTTTTTTTTGAAAAATTGAAGACAATGGAAATTATTAATTTTATGGAACAGTGAACACGAGCGGGGATTAACAAATCAGATTCTACAAGTTTTAAACGTCCTTCTATTCGTTCCGCTGGTAATTAGATTGCTAGGATCGCGTACCAACTGCGAGTAACAATGGATGCAACAGGAATGGCAGAACCTGGCAGGAAGTTTGCTCTCCAGGAAACTCGAGAGGACAAAGGAGACTAGTATTAATTGCTCGATTTCTCTGAAGCAGTATCATTCAAGAGAAAAGTAATTATTGGTTCGAACTTGGGAACACCGTTTCACGCTGTCATATTCTTTACCGACCACCGAGAAAAATGTTTACTTATCAACCAACTATTTAATCGATAAAATTGCCTTTATGCAAATCTTCCAATATCTGTATGTACTTTAATTACCTTCCATTAACTTGACGTAATTAACTTGGAATTATTCGAATCGCTTACAGACTCTGTCTAATAAAATTATATGGTAATGGATATTTTTGTAATTTGGTAATAGCAAATTTTTCTAAATTAATTCATTCAATTAGAAATTTAGGAATTAGAATTTTTCAGATGGAAATTTGGCAATTGCAAATTTTTCTAAAATAATTAATTCAATTAGAAATTTAGGAATTAGAATTTTTCAGATGGAAATTTGGCAATTGCAAATTTTTCTAAAATAATTAATTCAATTAGAAATTTAGGAATTAGAAACTTCTCAAATGGAAATTTGGTAATTACAAATTTTTCTAAATTAATTAATTTAATTGGAAAATTAGGAATTAGAGACTTCTCAGATGGAAATTTGGCAATTGTAAATTTTTCTAAATTAATTTTCGGTCTTTATATTTAATTAGAAACTTCTCAGATGGAAATTTGGCAATTGCAATTTTTTCTAAATTATTTTTTAGAATAATATTATACTCTCTCCTCAACTTTAATTCTAAAGAAATTCTTGCGACAAGTTTTATTAATAACTTTTCAGAGGTTGCGATATTGCATTCTGTAAAAGAAGGAACAACAATAGGGCTTCATTTCACGATGCAATTTCTGCTTTTGTGAAATTCAGGATTATAAATCGTAGACCATACTGTTTTGAAATCCGTGGTAATGCGTTGTTCTTTCTCAGAACGTAAGTCTTTGTCCTTTTTCTGTTTCTCGGTACCATCGAGCTACATTTTTTATTTCTATAGCAAACCATAGGGAACCGTGTCTGATAAATATTGCCTCGACCATTACATGTATCTTGATCCTCCGTGTTACGATCTTCTTCACGATGTTTCTTACTTCTTATTCTTGTTAGAACGTTTTCATCTGTATTTTATATTTTCACTTGAGACTACACAGTTTCAATTCAACCAATCGGAAATGTTTTAAGATCTCACTTTCTTTCTTATTATTTTTTTAAACAATTATTAAAAGATTGATCTATCTTTTAATTTTAAACTGACTGACATTAACAAATTTTCTAATAGATATTTTTGAAATGAAGATTTACAAATCATTGTAAAATAATTTTTAAATTATTTTTGAAACGAAATTCTCTGGATTACCTATTTTTGCATTGATCCTAATTAATAAACGATAGTGGTTTCGCACGATGTAACTCACCTTTGACGGAGGTAACCAAAGTTAAATGTTGAGCATTCATCTCGGCGAGTCGGCGGATCACGTCGATCTGTTCCAAGGAAAGTTGAACAGCATTCAACTGTGCTGCACCGCATGGAACGTAGGCAGACCAGAACTGTAAGAAAATAAAGCAAACATTAGAAACGCTTTACTTCCCTGTTTGCTCGAAGAATCGATGGAAAATCTATGAAGTCTGAAACAACGACGAAATAAACTTTTGCAAAAGAGTTACAAGAAAAGTTCTACAATTCAGAAAGTAAAAAGAATCTAAATCTTGCAGAGATGCACTTTGAAGAAAATTTGGATTAAATGAATAAACAATGAAATTTAATTATCCAGAATCATTATCCAGACAGTGTGTTATCAATATTCATCACACATAATGAGTTTCCGGCTGTTAATCATTGATTGTAGAGTGATAATTAGCTTATAATCATAACACTTGAGACCACTTAGTAGTGGACGATAGACAGTTAATTAATACTCGAGCTCAACAACATATTTCGTGCTTGAAAAATCATTCCCAACCGGTAATTAATCAGTTCATCGTATAACATTGATTGCCTTTCAATGACAACCTTTCGATGTTAAAACATTTGGAAAATTAATATTTCCAGCATCTTTAGAGGGTAATCAGGCTGTCTGATATCTTTCAACAAATTTGTGTAGTAATTAATTAGACCGTTGAACAACATCGATTGCCCTGTCAATATCTCTTTGACGTCAAAGTAATTAAAGAACAGTAGTTGGGTAATGAAAAATATTTACTAGAATTAATTAAAATTACAGCATAATAAATAAATTTCTACTCAAATTTTCCTGATAAAGAAATGAAGAAATACTTCTTTAAAATTAATTATAATATTGGTTTTCTTCAGAACTAATTAAAACTCCATTAACTAATTAAATTTATATAATAACAAGAAAATCCTTTAAACGAATGAAGATTTTTCTCAGAGATAATTTCACATGAAAATAAAATGAAAGGGTTTGGAATAATGAGGAAAGTGTTTCATCTCTGAATTTCATCCTGTTCCTCTTTTAGAAGCAACGTTACCAGTTACTCGGCGGTCTGATTACCGTAGAGTTTCTGCACCGGCGTAAATATTGAATTTCGACCCCTGCCTAACCCGATTGACATCCCGGATTCTCACGGTGCAGCTGCCGTGATATTAACGTTATTATACTAATCGCGTGTCGATACTATAGGCAGTAGAAAATACAGTGGCAGAGAGCCACGGAAAGGGTTGCCAGAATATCCCCCCCCCCACAATATGCATCGCTTTTTTAAACAAAGGGAACGGATTAAAAGCGATGCATACCGCAGCTCACGCGGTTGCTCTTTTATTAATTTCATCCGCTTCGCGTATTTTAGGTAGGCATTTTTTAATTTCCGCATAACTTAACTTTTTACTACCGTGTATGGTAGGAAAAAAGCTTTATCATTTATTTATATATTTTTAATTCAGGGAATAAAATCTTTTGTGAGTTGAATTTCAATTACGAATTTTGATTTGATTATTTACAATTGTTTCATTTATCATGGAGAGTTTTTATTTTTCTTCATTTTAATTTTTTAAGTAATGGTAAGAGGTCGATGGATAATTAAAAATAATTAAAATTAATGATAAGACAGGGAAGTATCGTAACTTATGCGAGTTCAATAATTCAAATCGGCCTCGGAGAATTTATTTTAATCTACCAGATTTTAATGAGAGACCTTTATCTCGAGTGTCTGGAGACACAGTGCTCGTTTCAAACTTTCCCGGTTATTAATTATACTATTATAAATTTAACGAACTGTCGGCTGTTCCTTTGAACTTTTTGGTTTCCAACTACTGGAACGGGTAAAGAAAAATTAGCTTTCTATTTGAAATAGAAAAAAAAAGAACGGAATGGATTAAGTGCGACGGGAAACATTTCATGGTTGACTTTTCATGCCACTCGCTGTGACCAGTGAAAATAATCGAGTTGTTCGCGTGTTGCTGAAACTTTTACCGTAAATTGGGTATTTTCCCAACTATAAAATGACAGGACCCGGCTGAAAGGCCGTCGCGTTCGAAATTCCTACAACGAAATTCTCTGTGTACCTTATATCAGGAATAATTAAAAACACGAAAATAACATTTTACCAATACGTCGAATAGAAAATGTCTGTTAAAAATGGTATTAAATGTGAAATAATTTAAGAAATTATACACGAGTGAAATTTCTTAAATTACTTCAAAACCATTCATTTTCTTATAATTAACACATTTGCTACCACGATCCCCAAATGGAGATTTGAATATACATATATCTTTTTTTATCACTTGCAATAGGATTATATTAAATAAAATGTTAAATAAAAATATGAAAAATAAAAATTTGGCAGTTAATGGGTTAATGTGTTCATATTACAATCAAAAAGGATTTGATTTCCAAAGGGTTATACTGTTATCGATTATACTTTTTCTAAAAAAATAGAAATTATAATATAATACGTTTCTTATAAAAAATCTTATACAAAATTAAATTAAAACTGTAGCTTTCACCATGGTCCGCCGTTTTGGGGCGGGCTCTCTCCATGGTCCGCCGTGCGAGGGAAGAAACGCCTTGTATTATATCTCTCATTTTTATAAGAAAAGGATCAATCATAGTCATCAGGTCTCAAAAACTGTACACGTTACTCTATTCTGTTTGCCAGAATAAATGATAGTCTTCTTTATTCCAGCGAAACAATGTTATTCTCCGACAAAAGAGCAGCGTAGAATGTTGTCTTTGAATAATCGCGAAATTTCGTTTAGCAACAGAGGAAAACGTGAAATTGATCAGTCTGACGTCGTCGGGTGATCAAGTTAGTGTCGTGTCCAACGAAGCGAACCTGAAGTTTCTATCTTCCTGACACCTAGCACATAAAGTAGTAGCAGACGCTGGTGAACGTACACACGCAGTGAAAATTGCAGTTAATAAGCGGACGAGAGATAAAGCCGTCCGACTGGAAAGAGACGTGCGTTCTTCCAGAAGAAATGCTGATAATACCGGCGCAGAGTATTTATTCAAAACACACACAGTTACTTATTACAGTGTATGCTTTCCACAATGAAAAAGAAAAGAAAAAGGGAACAGAATACAATTGGGTCAGTAATTTCAAGGAAAAACTATCTGAACGTGCAATAACCCTTTTCAACTTGATGGTAGTTGGTTAGTAAACGTGTTAATGTAATTATCAAATCAAATTCTCTAATTATACTATTCATATTTTTTTTTAATTTTGTGAAATTAAAAGCAGGAAACATTCAAAGTGTTAATACAATAGGATAGCCCTTGAATAGCAGAGAATTTGTATTCCATGAAAAATTTCCAGGAAAAATAGTGTTGTACATTTGCTCTTTACAGTTTAATCCGACCTTTCGGTCGTCCATTCTTTTTCAACGAAATCTAACGAAATAAAAAAGTCCCTTTGAAGGCGAACAGCTATTACAAAGAGTGTTATTTACACCGTGGCAAAATCTATTATACGAAACAGGCCACGAAAGACGATGTACGACTATAAAGGCGCGTTTACACACTTTTCTGGATTCTCCTTTTCGTTGTTTCTTCCGCCACGTAACTTCACAAGAAAATAACTTTCTTGTCTGAGATACTAGCTGGTTTTACACGGTACACTAGCGATCAAATCAAGCTTTCCTAGGGAAAACGATGATATAGGAGAAACGAAAATTCACAGAATCTTAATTTTGATAATATTAATATTAAAAGTAATTTAGTAAAAGAAATAATACAGTTTTTAGTTATTAAATATCATAAAATTAATTCTAAATAGTATTTAGAATTTAAAAGAAATTATAAATTAGAATTTTTAAAAATTATAAATTAGAATTAAACAAAATTAAAAATTAGAATTTAAAAACATCAGAATTAATTCTAAATAGTAATTAGAATGATTTTTTCTGCAAAATTTACTCAGCTCAGTCGAAAAGTTTCTTTTTTTTTATAGATCAATAGGAAAACAGAAAGTTAGTTCATTGAGACTCGATCGTGTGCAACGAGAAAAATCTTGTTGTTTCCCCGATGGACGCAGATTCCCTGCAGATCCAGTTTGGTAAACAGGATAATTTTCGCGAGCAATTTATCAAGTGATTCGAGAGTTTTTCTATTTTTATCGTCCAAGAGACTTTGCCGGATCACTGGGAACTTTTATCGACATCCAATTTCGAGCTTTTTGATTTTTCTTCAAGCTCTGTTGGATGTCGACGAAAGCAAACTGATAGGATGTAGGTTGCTCGTTTTAAAGCTTCTTAAAATTCTTTTGAAGAAATTAGCAAGTGAACGATCCTTTAGTTCCTTCATTTTGTAGATTAAAGGTTGTTGTTTTGATACAGGTGTCTTTAAATTAGCATAATTCCCGTGCACTACAGCATCAACGAATGCTGTATCTTATTTTTTACAAAGTATCTTATTTTTTAATATAAGTCCTATTACCATTTTAATATAAATCCATAAGGTTAAAGAAATTCTTAATATATATCCCATATTAAAAGAACACACATAAATGTTCAACTATCAAAGAGCAAAAATTCTGCAATTACAGAGTAAGTTCAAAATCGCTTAATTAATATATTAAAAAGGAAAGAGGAAAATCTTGTAACGTGTAATCAAAATCAAAGGAGCGTAATCTAAGCGTGGTTAATGTAGATTGGACAGAGCAGTGGTATTACTCTAAATCGGCATGAAAAGGTCAATTTCGGCTGGCAAAGCCTCGGTCGTCTAAAGTGCGAGTGTTTCCAAGCCCGATGGTTTCAGGACCCCGTTTACATTCGAATTGGCTTCAGCTGCTCTAATGCGGTTCCGGGACACTTGGAGCAATTCGAAACCACGAGAGCAAGATGAATCTTGCTATAATCCGTCCACACGCACAGATTAATCATCTCAAAGGAAATAATAATTAATTTCATCGGATTCCTACTACTTTCAGATAGCAAAATAATATTCATATTGCAATAAGATTTTCTTTATTCAGAGAAGAAAAATTTTAACTTGAAATAAATCCAATTATCCGAATCAGAAAAACGAAATGCAATCACTCCGGAAGAAAGTCATTTTCTACCTGGCCCTTTGTTCTCGTTTATCGTC